AAACAAACAAACAGACAGACAGACAAGACAAAAGCAATATACGCCCTGAATCTATCGATCCGGGCGCATAAAGATATTTAATTTAGATTAAACCAATGCATAATATATATACATATATACTGAATGTTATTGACAAATGCGAAAGGCAGAAAAAATGGAGAGAAAAAAGAGTGAAAATATGAAAGTGTATTTATTTGATCTTTTGGTGATAACCCCCCCCCCTTTTTCCTGTAGGGAAAATATCCAGTTTTTTCACCTAGAAAAGGAATTTGACGTAGTTGAGGAAACTGTAAACCATCAATTTCAAGACAACTTTAGATATCTTCAGAGTAATTATTTGCAGGAGGAGACTGTCTGACGTCTGTAACAGAGTTTTGAGTCATATATAAGCTTTCCTTTTTGAAAAAAAATATAGATATATATATTATTATCTTTTAAACTAACAAAATTATAGGTGGTAGATTCACCATAGCATGTAATTTTTGTTCAATTATTTCACTATTTTTTAGCAAACAAACCAGAATTCTCAATTTTAATTTTTTTCATAATTGCTGTTTACTGACAAAATCAAAACATGTGCTATTTTCTAGTTCGAAATACATTAAGTAATCAACTATTTCTATGATGAATAACCTGTATTTTATTTTTCCCCGATATTATTCAGTTTAAATATCTATTTAAAGCATAAAATCCTAAAAATATTCACATGCTGACATCCGTAACTTGTATGGTCAGTATTTCTGAAGATCGCTCAACTTATATGTGTGAAATAATATCTCTGCATAAGTGTTTCATGGATTTGGTGTTATATTCAAAATACCTAAATATAAGATATTGTTCCTAGTTTGCGTTCAAATTCAAATGAAAATTGATACATTCTTGTCTTGTTTGGTGTAAAAAGAGGGATTTTGGTAAGACAAGGGTATTTTTCTAAAATATATGTCTTGAAGTTTAATTTTTGGAGACTTTGACACAACAAAAATTGGTCTCCAGTAAAATAACAAATAAAGTGCTTTGTGATGTTTATTTTTAGTGTATTCCCCTATGATTAGTGGTATATGTTTACTTCTGACTTCCGTAACATGATTTTAAGTACTGTCTTCAAAATCAAATTTTTCGAAAATGAGAAAACATCCGTGAGTAAAAATTTCATATCAATGTCGGAGAATGGTTGTAGTAAAATATTTTAACAATTTGAAGACAAAAATCAAAAGTTTATTTTTCAACACTGGCTATCTTGTAAATGGAACCATTTCTGGAGAATGGCTGATATACGTAATTCTGTCGTAAGTTGTGAAAATGCTTTTATTTAAACGTTCACCAAAAGCATTGAAATTAAATGTTACCTCTGAACATAAATTTTTCAAATGCACCTATTAAAAAGTATGGTACCTGTAAAGTGCGAAACGAAATAGAAACGAAACGAACTGAAACGAAACGAAACGAAATCAAAACGAAACCTAACGAAACGAAACAATACAAAACTATCAAATTTTTTTTCAAATCCAGGTAGATGTATATAAGTATGTATGTGTAACTGCATGTGGACTTTTTATGCCCCCGTAAACGAAGTTTCGGGGGTATATAGTTTTTGTCGTGTCCGTCTGTCTGTCTAGCTTTTTGTTTGATTGTCCTTAAAAACTTTAACCTTGTCCATAACTTTTGATTTAGTGGAGCAGTGACTTTCATATTTCACATGTTTATTTCTTGTGACAAGACCTTTCTTAGGATACCACCAAATTTGACCCTTTGACCTTGACCTTGGAGTTTGACCCACTTTTACACAAAAAATCCAAATATTTACTTTGGCCACAACTTTTGAACAGTAGATACCAGGACATTTATACTTCACATATATATTTTTTTGTGGCAAGACCTTTCACTGGATACAACCAATCTTGACCTTTTGATCTTGACCTTGGAGATTTATGTACTAATGAAAAAACTTGCCAATAACTTTTTAACGGTAAGGGCTAGAGCTTTCATACTTCATATATGTAATTCTTGTAAAAAGACACTTTATTGGATACCAAGAGTTTAACCCTTTGACCTTGACCTTGGAGTTTGACCTACTTTTAAAAATAAACCTTGATCATATCTTTTAAAGGGTAAGAGCTAAGGCTTTCATACTTTACATATTTAATTCTTGTGACAAGACCATTCATTTAATATCAAGACCTTTGATCCTTTGACCTTGACCTAAGAGTTTGACCTACTATTAAAAAATCTTAACCTTGGCCATAACTTTTGAACGGTTAGGGCTAGAGCTTCCATACTTCACATATATATTCTTTGTAGCACAAGCATTTATTGGATAACAATAACCTTGACCTTTTGACTTTGACCTTGGAGATTTTCGGACTTATGAAAAAAACATTAAATCTTGGCCATAACTTTGGAATGGTTAGGGCTAGGGCTTCCATACTTCAAATGTGCGATCTTTGTGGAAAGACCTTTCATTGGATAACAATAACCTTGACCTTCTGACCTTGATCTTAAAGATTTCCATACTTATGATAAAACTTTAGCCTGGCCATAACTTGGGAACAGATGGTGATAGGGCTTTCATGATTTAAAATTTTATTTCCAGTTAGGAGACTCTACTTTAAGTACCAATATATTAAATTTGCATCTAAGAAAAGTTTAATCTTCACTATGTTGCCATACGGGGGCATCAGTGTTTCACAAACACATCTTGTTCTACTTCAAATAAAATTTAGATAGTTTAAGCACTTGTTAATATAAAATTTGAATGCCGATAAATTATGTTCCCTTCTCTAATGATGTATTTATATGTATGAACTGCTGCCAGCTGCAAATATGCGCGAGCATACTATGCATGTATGATTTCAATATGTGCAGTATTTTCTAAATTTTATGTCGTCCTCTTATTTTCAGCCCTTATTCATTTAGATACAACATATCTATCAAAATTGATGTGTTACATGTAAAGGTTCAAAACCAGAGACTTAGGAGCACTTCATTCCGAGGTGTCTGGTTTTATCGTTCACTTATACATGTAACTCCAACCGCAGTGTGTATTTTATCTACGTACATACGGTCTTATTTTGTATCGGTGTAATTTTCGAGGAAGAAATGAGTGGCTTGCAATAAAAAGGATCGACCAAAGACGTCTAAAACGATTTAATTGACAAGAAAAAAAGTCTGTCGAAGCGAACGATGTCAATTTAATGTAGATCAATAATTTATATATTAACGAAATATGAGCTTGAAGCAGGGGTGCCTGAAATTTAGTTAGGTACATTATGTTAAAAACAAGTTGGGTACCCCTGATACGAAACAGTTGCCTGTGTTAACAAGTGCTTGAACTACTAGTGTATAAATTTCATATGAAGTTAAATCAAAGTACTCAGAAGTACAGAGAGCCGGGCTCATTTACAGAGTAGAATGGATTTCTTACATGAATCACGTTTATATTCTGATGAAAAAGTTATTTTAAAACTATCAATATAAATGATAAGACAATGACAGTGAGTTTTTCAATCCTAATACCACGGTCCGATTTTGTCAGAATCAGAATTAATCTGGTACCGCAGCTGAATGTAAAACAGGCCAGTCTGGTTCCCTCTCCTGCTTTACCTCGTATGTGTAGAGAACTACGGTAACACTGATAATCAAAAAACCTTACGCTAATGAACTATGTTCTTTGACTTATGAAGTTTTCAAAGTCATTACTACTAATGTTTATTTTATATAGATAAAACTTGGTTTTATTTTTGTTGCTTTATTTAGCGTTTGTATTATCTCAAAAGCGGTTGAGAGTAAGAACTATATTTTTGCACGTAACTTTAAAATGGCGACTATGGGGTTAACATCCTGCCTTGAACAGGATCACATAAGCCGGCAATTGCTCTTTGAGCAATAAGCCCGGCTAAAAGACCATACGCAGTTACACATTTTATATCACTTGTTGTGTGCCAGTAATACCATGATTTGAAAAACATTTGGAAAGTTTTGTTTCGTTTCATTTCGGTAGGTTTCGTTTTGTTTCGATAGATTTCGTTTCGTTTCGGTAGATTTCGTTTTGTTTGAGTTCGTTTCGTTTCGTTTCTATTTCGTTTCGCACTTTACAGGTACCCTAAAAAGTATGCCTCATACTGGTGTCTTAATTTGCATTTGAAATTTAGGGTGATATAAATACGTAGATTTAAGTGTGAATATTTCTTTAAGTCTTAGACATCTCATATATGTTGGTTTATCATTTGGGACTATCTAATGTTTCCTTTTCCTTGTCTTGTGAACGTTTAAGTGCTACTTTCTGAATATCAGCTGTTCATGTTATTTTAAAGAAGACCAATAAAAATGAAGATGATGCATTAAAAAACCTCAAGAGGAGCAAGGCCAGGAAATGAACAATCACAAACGCTGTGAGCAGAGGAAATACTTTTCCTTATGCAGATAAATTTAGTTTATATTCTCTTTATCTTGATGGGCTCAGACTAAAACAGAATCAAGAAATCTTACGCACGGCACTGTGTTTATGTCCAAAATAGGTCAGGATGTTTAAATATACTGGGTTGGTTTTTAAAGATTTGTTTATTGAATAGGAACCTTGTCCATCTATAGGCTTGCGCGTTGCTATTAATAACCAAAGAAAAAAATCTTGCAGCAATATTGTAAGAAATCGAAGTGTTATCATGCTCTTTGAATATTCTATCCACGAAAACAACATTAATGTTTCTTTGAATACCACAGATAAAATTCCGTGAAGTTTAAACATGTTATCAAACACACATGCATGCAGTGACAATTGTCAAACTTTACTTTTAAAAAATATTCTATGTGAGAATGCGTAAGATATAAAATTTAATGTTTATATGATTGATCGTTTAAATACCTGTCTTAAATGTGTACATATACTTTTATACAAGTTCAGGTATTTCTGACTGATTCATAATTTTCAATACATCGTTACATGTAAATTTACATGTAAAACACTAACACTAGCACTAACCAGATATAATGAAGATTCTGATTACCTGCTGATAAGAATTCCAAAAGAATAAGGGGGAACGCCAGGTACAAAGACATCCCTCTCTCCATTTATAGGAAAAATGAATGAACTTAACTCCAAGTCATTTAATCAGGAAGTGAATTTTTCTGGCGTGACGGCACGGTTTTTTAAAATACATGGACCACGTCATTATCTCCCTTCTCATATCTTCAAGTGCGGTCACACCCGTTATCAAAATTAATGTAAACAACCTCTCTCTCTCTCTCTCTCTCTCTCTCTCTCTCTCTCTCTCTCTCTCTCTCTCTCTCTCTGTATGTCTGTAATTATGAAATACATAGGCCTATACATCAAAATTGCGGCTTGTTGTTTGTTGAAAAAAACTATAAGATGGACCGGTTCAGCGATATAACGCTTTACATGCACTAGTATACATGTATGTATGACACGAATATATGCACATTATATGTCGAATCATCGTCAATATATATATAGTTCGACAAATTCAAAATCATTTGAAGTACCTTGATTGGATAATTATGCTACACTATGTAAAGGTGTTGATATTTGTGTTGTATTATATACTCTACATTGGACAGAAGTGGATAACTTTAATACATGTATAATAACAATATACTATCCTTCAGCACTGACTCTTGCTGTCCATTGTAGTTTAGTTTAATTAACACATGTGTCAATGTATAATTTATTTATATAATATATGTTTATCTCCATAAATTTTATGTCTGTTTATTCTACATGAGGCAGAAGTGGAATTCTGTATATCCTTTAGCACCGACTCTTGCTGCCTCCTGTTGATGTTTCAAACATAGTTTTATGCATTTTGATATGTATATATTTACATATATATGTATATCATGAATAATACTTATGGACATTTTTTTTGTACAACAAACCATCATGTATGTCTGTATATGAAACTTAAATTGCCACCAACATATATATCAGTATATACATATATACTTAATAGAAGAATTGCTCTTCACCACATGTTGTATTCTGTCTATTACTTTAATATTATGTTTATATGTAATTATATATGTTATATGTTTATGCCTAATGGGCCCTGATTGGTAATAAATTCTATTCTATTCTATTCTATTCTATATAACAGATCATTTCCTTGTTTGTTCTTTTGAAAGAAGAAGAAAAGACTTTTGAAAAATCGTGATCCTGTGTCATCGTGTGCCTCCTATACCTTAGACGGCTTAAAAATCAGCAGGCAGTACACGATAGAACAATCAATAACATGGGTAGAAGTCACCAATACAAGGGAATGCATATGTAGATGTAAATCTAGATTCAAAAATTTTCCTGACAAAAAAATAAAGACAAAAGGAAAAAAAATTTCTGCACTTTTAATAGGATGAATAGGATATTTTATACATGCAAAAGTTAGTGATACGTATGCAAGTTTAAAAGTAAAGGAAAAGCCCTTTCACCTTTAAAACAACACACACACGCAGATAGTTGAAATGTGTACCTTAAAAACGTATACTTAACTAATATGTGTCTCTGACTACAATTTGAATTAACAAAGGATTGATTAAAATTTCCTTTCTCCTTAAAAAGCATCCGGAAAGAAACGTGATTATGTATTTATTCATTACAATGATCTGAACACATTTGATTTATGTACCCAGCCCATTTAAAATGCAGCCTCACAAACTCTCCGATGCATATAATATTCATGTCTCGTTAAAATGTTTAAAGCAATTATACAAATTGTTTGCTTTCACCTTTACAACTTCCTTCATATTTGAGGGTTTAAATAATTTTAATTTTTTGGAAAAAATGAGTTAACAGATGTTTCCCTAACGTCCCGCTGTTCGACTCTGCTTTCAACGTACTTTTCACTGTTTAAAAAAGCATAGTTGCTTTTAGGCATTTATTTTATTTCTGTGATTTTTTAAGGGTACCTCTTCAATTAACACGATGGAATCGCCAGTTAAGTCCCTAAAATGATCCGTAGAAAAATTGTTTAATCATAAAACATTCTACATATTAACACGTCGGTTCCAGATAGCACAGCAAATTTAAACCCAATCATTTTTGATCCTCTCCAACTAGATCAGGTGTATTAAAATGCATAAAGCAATTTAACAGGAGCGGATCAAGATCTAAGTTTAATTAGATTGGTTGAAATGTAAATGGCAGAAAAATGACAATGTTTAAGCTGGATGTTCGAATATACATGATATTGTAAGAAAACGATGGAAGAATTAAGAGAGTTCTGGGGGTTTTATGGATAAGGATAACTTGACATTTCTCACAGAAGTTCTGGTTCCCCAATCATTCACAGGATTTCTACTGAGTCGCAGAAAAGCACGGTACCGTAGGAAAATATTGAAAACAGGTTACCATATATCAAAATACAGTGCTCGAGCAAAGGCATGGTTTTATTTCAGGCGAAATTCTGTCCAATTCTCTAAAGAGAATAGCGTCTTCATATAAAAAAAATTCTCAAAGGGGCGTAAAACAACATATCAAACAAACAAACTATATAACGTTATATAATATATTGTATTACCCTAAATAATTGACTTTACTGCAATAAATAAGTGGGAGCCAACCTAAGCGGATTTCCAATCACAAATGAACCCCCCCCCCCCCCGGCCCCTATAGCTGACGCGACAAAAAATTCAGTTATTTATCATGTTTATTACACGTGCGAAACTCGATCCTCATCTGAGAGCACAGACGGCATAATCATGTTATTCACTTCGCGGATCAAATAAGTTTGACGTTGTACACGTTAACGTCAACACCTGTATAAGAGTGGTTTTAATCATGTTTTAGCATTCGGTAATTAGAATTTCCAATGATTTGCGAAAATAAAATATATTGAGAACTCTGTCTTGTATGATATAGGTATTGGTAAAAAGATGAAAGAAAGGAACGTATCGATCATATATATGAAGAACAGGTAGCGAATCAAATAACATGAGTATATATATACAGACGCAACATTCTATATAAAAGCCTCTGGAAGGGGAGATTTTCCTCGGTAAAGGGTTTCTTTGGGGGTCATTCAGATAAAAAATGGGGCTTGGTTTTTTGGGGGGTTCATTCTTAAAATGACCATGTTTCAAATGACCAAGGCATATAATAAGAAGCGAATCAAATAACATGAGTATATATATACAGACGCAACATTCTAAAAAAACCAAGTCCCGTTTTTTATCTGAATGACCACTAATGCCTAGGTCACATTTCCCGGCCGGTGGCCGTAGACCGGTGGTAATCGGTGGTAATCTGTGGTGTTAACGATGCTCCAACATCGGTCCACATCGGCCTAGTAGTCCTTAATGAATCAGTCACTTTATCCAGCGATGGATATACGATGGGCAACCAATGCGTTTTATGATTAAAATGGCGTGGTTGCCGGCCGGACTTACAAAGGCCCAGCGAAGCATTGCTAATCATAAAACGATGTTCTAGGATAATCCGCCGATGCATATTACATCGCTCATACATTGGTGAACATCGTTCGAACATCGATTGACTACGGGCCAATGTTTGGTCGAACATCGACCGGTGATCGGCCGTTATCTGTTGGACACCACTCAACCCCCCGATGACCTCAGATTCAACGGATATTGAACGATGCTCGGCCATACATCGGCCGATCCGTGAAAGATGTGTAAATGATGGGTTGCCGATGAGGAGCGATGTGAGGCATCGTTGGAGACATCGCTGAATTTTAACTACGAATTATGTCCTACCGATGACCCCACCGATTCGCAAAATGACCTCAGTCACCTTCCGATCACTAGTGGAGCCCGGCCGGCAACCACGCCATTTTCATCAAAAAACGCATCGGTTTCTCATCGTATACCCCATCGCTGGATAATGTGACTGATACTTAAAGAAACCCAATCTCCCCTTTCAGAGGCTTTTAGAATGCTGTGTCTGCATATATATACTCATGTTATTTGATTCGCTACCCGTTCTTCATATATATGTATATGAACGATTCTCTAAAGAATCGAGCATTAGATCCTCTCTCTCTCTCTCTCTCTCTCTCTCTCTCTCTCTCTCTCGTGTAGTTTTATTTCCTGAAATAGTATTAAATAGTACTAAATACTCGAAAATAAAAATATAAACTTTATAACATCATTAGAATCCCTCTTGTACAAGTAATGACGTTAACGTGTTCAACGTCAAACTTATTCTATTCGCGAAGCGAATAACATGATAATGCCGCACAGACTGACAGAGAATGATTTATTTTGATGATTTCATCAAATCAGTTGTTGAAAGTAATAACTGACTTACACTTCCAATTAATTATTTTTTAAAAATAAATTTGCTTGAATTAAGGAAGCGTATTAATTACCGTATATATACATGTACTCGGCTACTCGCCAATAAGTCGGTTGTAGTTAATAAGCTTATATTTCAGTTGGACTGACCTCATACAATACCATTCTTGTTAGAGCTCGCCTATGAGTCAGACTCAGAGTTTTGGACCAGAAATTAACTCCCAAAAAACCGATCGACTTATATAGGCGAGTATATATATATATCTGTATTCCAACTAAAAGTTTTAAACTACATAAAGGAAGAGCTTCCAATTATTATTATTATTATCAATAAAAATGCTTGAATAAAAGATTTGTCCATGATTTTTTTTTCTTCAAAATTTGGTTTTTCCAACTACCAACTAAAACTACATAAAGGAAGAGAACTCTTGACATTAGGAACTCTTTTGTTTATAGAAAGCAGAAAAATGACCGCGGGGCGTTCCGCGAAAGAAGATTTCGTGTTTACCTTGACTTCGCACGCGAGAAATATTGATCGGTGTATAACCATTAAGATGCTGTAAGAATCAAGGTGTATAGGAGGAGAATGATGTTGTCATGAATATTTTATCAACTGGACGAGAGAATCTGCCTTTGTATCGGCGTATTGTTGTACAGTATTTTCTGTACAGCTGTGCACCATTGCAATATGTTTTCAAAGATATAATGGTGGACGGTTGTATTCGGTGAGCTCGAAAGGTAACCTTTCTTTATTGACTTAAGTTTCAAAAAGATTTAAACTTTACAGTTATTGTGTGGGATGTTTTTCATTTGTAATGTTATACTTTTCACAGCACTGGGCTCCCAAAAGATGACTAATATTCCAAAGTTTTTCTTTTCCTTTCTACAAATATTTTTAATGAATTCAAAGTTTGTGTTCACTCAAGAAATTGTGGGTAAGTATGAAATTATTTTGTTAAAGTCATATTCTTTATATATCAAAATAGGGATAAGCATGGATGTAAATTCTGCTATTTATGCTTACTTTTTAAGTTATATTACTTGCAGATGCATGCTTATGTTTGTTTTTATTAATAAAAAAAATATATATTTTTCAAGAATTTATGGTGAAGCCAAAAAGTCAGGCTGTTGTATACAATGGAAGCATAATTCTAAACTGTGAAGCCAGGCTGGTGTCTTCCCCTACGGAGCAGCTGTCCTACGCTTGGTATCTAAATGGGGGACCACGGCCCCAGGGTAGCTCTATATTCGTCAACAACTCCCTCCTTATACAGAACATACACGAGGCAGAACTAGGGAACTACACCTGTGCTGTATCCTCCAGTGATGGAATCTCACAGTTAGCCGTGTCACCTCCAGCTCAAATCATACATGCATGTAAGTGATACAGTAAACTAGGGCATCCAAGTAAGTGATACAGTAAACTAGGGCAGCAGTTTGTAAGTTCTCATACAGAATCTCTAGTTTTAGAATGTTGTTTAGTTTACTTAAAACTCAGAATTGTCCTTGAATTTTAGTCTACTTGTAAGTAAGTTCAAAAGCTACATGTATTTCATTTCTGTAGCTCAAAAATTAAGTCTAAATGGGTTTTCATAATGCTTTCTAAAAGAAGAAAATAAAAATGTACCAATAATCCTTAAAGCCCTCAGAATATTGTGTCTATGGAGTGTTCTTTTTATGTACAATTGTACATAATGCTATCAGAATTATACATACTTTTTCATAAAGTAAAACTTTTAGTGAATTTTCTCTTCTGCCTGAAAAATTATTTGTATTTTATATTATTCTTATTGAAACTGTCACGTATGTGGTTGGCTTTGATACAGATATCCGTTCATTTGTGATGAATCCAAAGGGTGTGACTGTGACTGAAGGAGATACGATAACCTTGGACTGTGTTACAGGGGAAAGCTCCCCACCCCCTGAGATCTTCTGGGAGAAAGATGGTGTCCTCTTCAGGGGTGGATCCCAGTACAATGCCACCTATAGGAGTGCCTCATCCCTGGGTTTTGTGCAGCAGTTCAGCATGAAGCTGGTCCTGGTAGCCACACCTGAGCATAGTGGGAAGTACAACTGCGCTGCTAGGAACAGCATGCTGGGAATATATGTTAGAAGCTTACAAGTGTTCGTAGGAGTTACAGGTAAATAATTTAATTTTACTTGTAACACGTCATTTGATTGGATAAAAGATTTTATCCATTTTGTATAACATAACTTGCCTACGTCACAATGAGTTACGTCAAAAAACGTATTACTCCGCTTGACGTTACTTTTAAAATTTAATCAATGTGAAGTTTTATTCTGGGGGAAAATTTTTTCATCGCTGCTTTGAAATTAAATTATAAGAAATGAAGCTTATTTCAACTAATATTATACGATGTAACAAAACTTGGGACAGTTTATGCTTTTTTATAAACCGCTTCGCGGTTTATAAAGCGTAAACTGCCCCAAGTTATGTTATATCGTATAATATAAGTTGAAATAAGCTTCATTCCTTAAATAATTAAAAATTTAATGCATTAAGGTCTAAATCTGTTAACTAAGAAATTAACTTACCTTCATTTCACTTCCATTAAAACATTGCTGTGACGTCATGCCTTTGTTCTTGCAGTCTAAAAATTTACCTGTAGCCGTCCGATAATAATAAATACCAGTCTGATAATATAATATCGGACGGCAATGATAACAAAATCGGACGGTATTTAAAAAACAAAAAGAAGAGTGAAATAAAGGTCAAATATGTCCAGAAACCCCCAATAAAAATGCTAGGAAACAAATTCAGGGAAGGCAAACGCAAGGAAATTAAATTGCTACAAAATAGCAAATCCATGAAAAAAAAGAAGTTTAAACCTTCCACAAAATTAATGCTTTCCACTCTTTAAAAGAATTTTTGATGCAGCACTTTGAATAAGCGAATTTAAATCCATTTCTGCAAAAGAGTGTGCAAAACTCCTTATTTTATGTTTGTTCCCCGATGGCCACACTTTTAAAACCTGAGAATATTTCCATTATCTAAACTAAAACTTCAGGGTAAAAATCCACTTTTTTACTTTCCATGGTGATGGTTATAATATCACCCAAAATTATGTTGGTATCAATGTCAATTTATGCACATCATAAATAAAATTGTTCCCCCAAATATTTTTCACCACCGGACCCCTGTCCTGCTAAACTAAACAACTGCCATTGAATGAATAAAACGAAACAAGAGTTCACTCACTTTTTTTATTGTCTCATTTCTTTTATCTACTTATCAGACGAGTAGAAAACAATGGATGCCTAAACTCCCATTGTGTTATTATCGGACTACTCCAGGTAACTTTTGGACATTTAAATGGCAATGTTTTAAGTAAGATATATGCCTCATACTATTCTATATGTAAAATTATCAGACAGTTTTCGGCCCTAACGGGCCTCAAACAGTCTGATAATTTTACATATAGAACAGTATTCGGCATATATCCATTACTTATTTGCAGGAGAGTATGAATGAAAAATTTTGATTAGATGAGCTATGAAGGTGATGAGGAAAATCTCATTTTCTATTATTTATTTTTTTCTTGTCAGCATTTGAGTTTGCAGCAAGAGTAGATTTAAACCTTTATAAGAGGGATATTTTGACTCCAAAGGACCAACCCTTTGTGCTGGACTGCCCAATAATTGGATACCCCTCCCCAGTCATTAGCTGGAGAAAAGGACAGGTGTCCCTAACCCCGGTCACCACTAACCACACCCTTCTGCCTAACGGTAGTCTCTACTTTGAGTCCTTTCAGTTGGAGGACCAGGGATACTATATCTGCGAGGGGATAAACAAACTAGGGAGAGATATATCACCTGACATTGTACTACAGGCAGCTTGTAAGAAACCAATGCATGTAGTTATATCTTTTAAATGTTTGAAAGCAAATAGGATTTAATGATTTTATAGCATTCATAACAAATTTTCATACAGTGCAAAAGTTTATTATTTCTTTTTGGTAGATATTGACTTTGAATTTTCTCGACATCCAACTTCAAAATATGCCATAGCAGGCCTGCCTACCACCCTCCCTTGTTCCCCTCCCACTTCTAATCCCCCCGCCAAAGTCACATGGTATAAGAACAACCAGCCATTGACCAACAAGTTCAATAACAACAGTAAGACTGTGTTAATCATGGACCCTGACAATGGGGTATGGGACCTTTTTATAGCTGATGTACAGCGGATACATGAGGGGCAGTACTTCTGTGTTGCTGAGAACGTGTTTGCTGTTCCGTCCTCTAGAACCTCAAAAGTTGCCACACTTAGAGTAGGAGGTAAAGAGTACTGGTTTCTGATCAAAACTTTCATTTTTATAAAATGTTCAGTATTATTTAGGCTAATGATGAAGTGTTTTAATCTCACCCTCGGCCTGCTTGGATTTTGAAAATTCCGTATAAGTGGAAATTTTAGCGAGACGCAAATTTACCGATTTTTCCATAAAAAGTGGTATTTCATTTTTATTGATAAGTAATTTTAGCGATTATAAGATGCTCACTTAAGATGCTATTACAAGTAAAATGCAATTAAAATTTAGTGATATTCAATTTTAGCATTCTTACCATCCCCGCTAATAATGCCTAAATAAAATTCTCTCTAAAAATTCTACTTATACGGTATTAGACAAAAATGTACATGTTTTGGTCTAATGTAGATGTATACTGCTTTATAAATTCATAATGAAGTCAACTTCATCAGTTTTTAATTAGTTTGAAAAAAAAATAATTTCATTCTAAACTGTCTTATTCCAAGGAGAAATTTTTGATATAATTAGATAAACTTATACATCCAAGTCTTTTTTTTTTATTTTTCAGTGTATCTAATTTTTAAGCTTTGTTGTTTTAGGAGCACCTACATTTGTGCAGCCCCCTTTGAGTCAGTCAGTTGTCAAAGGTCAAGGTCTTGTGCTAATATGTCTGGTTCAGGGAGATCCCGAGCCAGAAATAACCTGGTTGTTCAATGGACAACCGGTCACAGATGGAGCTTATACAACAGCCTTCAGGTCAGAATAAAACAAGCCTTCAGGTCAGAATAAAACAAGCATTCAGATCAGAATAACACCAAAATTCAAGTTAAAATTACACCAGACTTCAGGTTAGAATAACACCAGCATTCAGGTTAGAATAACACCAGCATTCAGGTTAGAATAACACCAGCATTCAGGTTAGAATAATGCCAACATTCAGTTTAGAATGTCTACATTGCGTAAATATACAAACTAGAATATTTTAGTGATTTACATGTAGGATTGTTCATGCTGGAAATTCTTAACTATGTACATGTAAAGCAACATGGGATTTATTTTAGAAAATGAATATTGTCAGTAAATGTACAGATGTAAAATTCTTGTACAATTTACCTATCAGTGATGTCAAATGGATAATTGCAAATTCATTTAAAAGACTTTGTCTTTCTCATGTTTCTGAGCAAATATTTCCTTTGGTATAGTCATTATAAAGAACAAATACTCTTGAATACAAATATTGCTTGATGTAAATGGTTAAAGAAATATTTTGATAGCATGAAGAACCAGGAACTACACATTGCCAATGTAAATAAGGCATGGGAGGGCTATTTCACCTGTAGAGCCAATAATTCTTATGGAAAATCTGAGGCAATGGCCTATGTCACTGTTAAAGGTAATTAGTGATTTGAAACGCATAATTATAAAATCTCTCTTTGACTAGTGTTGCTTACCAATAATGACTTCAAACTTTTCCCCAGAATGAAAAATTAGAAAAGCTTTATAGATTGACATTTTTTTCATATAGTGCAACATGCTTATACATGTAGCAAAGTACAAAGGATGAACAATTTTGAGCCATTAAAATCATGAATTGTAATACCTGATAAGTTAATAATACCTTTTTTTAAAAACAAATCACTTGGCAATAAGTTTTAATTTTAGATGTGTTCAACATATTTCTATTTGACTTATTTGCTTAATTTTGTTACTACTTGAAGTGGCTTTTCATTATAAGAAGGATGGGTGTAATAAAGAAAATCCTCTGCCTTTAGTCTAACTGAATGGTACCTGTCTTGTAATATCTTTTCAGTCCCGGTGGTAATTACGAAGCCAGTGGTCAATTTGACGGTAACCATTAACAACCAGGTGTTTTTGCCTTGTGAAGTCTATGGAGACCCAGTTCCAAATGTGACTTGGTACAAAGGTAGAGACAACAGTTCAATTTTCAAGCTTGTATGTGTACATGTATCTTTGCACACATTTATATGTAGTAAATCTAAGAGTATAACTTGAGAGACTCATGATACTCAGGCAACCATCAAGGCCTATGTGCCTCTTGTTTCATGTATGCCTCTTGTTTCACATGTGCCTCTTGTTTCACATGTGCCTCTTGTTTGATGTGTGCCTCTTGTTTTATTTGTGCCTCTTGGATATTTACAGATCAGGCCCCTCTGTCCCTCACCAGTCGAGTCCGTCAGACGGTGGATGGATTGTTTATTAACGATGTTAATTTGACTGATGGGGGAACTTACACCTGTCTGGCGATGAATGAGGCAGGCACTGCTCAATCCTCAGGAATACTGGCTGTGCAGGGTACTTTACTGATTTATTGTTTGTTTTGTTGTGAGATGTGTTCAAACAAAGTATTAGAGAAAAATGTTTCAATTTCCATTTTCTATTTTCAAATAAATACCAGCATTAGTATTGATGCTAACAGTACATAACTACATAAAAAGAAACATGTTTTATTTGCATTAAAAAAAACATCATCTATTTCTAAAGTGATGAATTATGGCCTGTAGTCCTGTAAAAGTAATATCTGAGTACTTTTTTATGATGAAAATCTTCTAATAATATTAGATGTTTCTCAAGAGGCTTTAAGTTTTTAAAATTCTATCTCATCAAATCATTTTCATATATATTCCTCAGCTCCACCAGTGTTTAAAGTGATGCCAAAGAATGTCACCGTGGTGATAGGTGGTGCTGCTAACTTCACATGTAGTGTAGACAGTCATCCTGCTTCAACTATTGTGTGGAAATTTAATGTAAGCCTGTAATGTAAGCCAAAAGCAAAGAAGCCTAAACCACATAATTCGTTCAGTAGGAAAATCTATGTGATTATGCTATTTTACACAAGGAAGAAAAACGAAGAAAACTACCTTGTCAGAATACATAATACTTTTTGAAGAAAAAATGTTTCATGCATACAAAAAGGAAAAAATTACTTTAAAAACTTCAGTTTTTGCTCTATAAATGCATTGAACCATGTGTGATAATTAGTTTATGAATATCATTTCCTTTAGAATACTTCTTTTTGTAGGACACCAATCTTCTGCCTGATGGAGTATTTATTAACCTAGACAACAGTGTACAGATCGCCATGGTAACCTGGCAACACGTGGGAAAATACACATGTGTGGCCTCCAATGTTGTGGGTTCAGAGAGCATGTCTGCAAAACTTTCTCTTCAAGGTGTGTATTACATTTATTTGGGGGGGGGGGCAGTTGATGTCCAATGGTTGAAGACAGATGACATTAGGATTTGTCTCTGATATTTTTTTTCTACTTTATCAAGGTCATACTTTGCTTAAACTCACAGGTCAATTGTCAGTAGGAATTTATCACCATATGAATCTTTTGTACTTCTAGGCTAATAAAGTTTTGTATTTTATCATCACAAATTCTAAATTAATATAACCAAACACCAATATTATCTCTTTTTAGTGCCTCCAAAAGTTAAATATATTCAAGGAGATTTAATAGTTGTAAGAAACCGGGCCACCACCTTAACCTGTAAAGCCGAGGGGATCCCTGCCCCACGAATCAGCTGGTACAGGCGAGGATCCGAGATTCTCTCCACTGCTGATGGGAGGATTGTAGTGACCAGTGAAAGACAACTACTCATTAAGGTCGCCAATGCAGGGGATGAAGGTAAAAGCCTAACAAAAATCATCACATATGTTTTAGGTTTTACATGGTTTTATTTATTAAAATTAACAAACAAACATTCAAAAGCAGATTGTAAAATTTTCATTGATGTGTCATTTTGAATATTATCAGGTGACTACACGTGTTCTGCTGTCAATGACGCAGGATCAGATCAAGCAGAAGTCTCTATCCATGTTGTGCGTAAGTTCTCCATGTTGTGCGTAAGTTCTCTATATTGTGTGTAAGTTCTCTATCTTGTTGGTAAATTTTAATGATGTCTGTTAATTCTCTCTGTTTTTCCATATTGTCCATTTGTTCTCCAGATTTTGTGTAAGTTCTCTATATTGTCCTGAATTTTTTTTTACTGACTTAAGTCCATATTGTCAGTAAGTTCTCTATATATTGTCCATAAGTCCCCTTCATTGTCCATATCAGTGTTTTCCCTTTATTTCAAAAGTTAAGGGTTGGGGGCTGAGGTTTATGTACAAATTTTTAATAGACATTACAACAATTTAATTTTGAATTTTTATTTCAAAACAGCATTTTGTCAACTGAAGCAGTCAATTTGGCCGGTAGCCGGTTCTTAGGGAAAACACTGCATATGTTTTCCACACTGTCCATAAGTCCTCCATATTGTTTGTACTACATGTATATTTGATTCCTGTAAATGTTTTTAGAGCCACCTTTACCACCGACTTTGTTAGACCCCATAGCAACATCAGCAACCTCTGTGACCTTGAGATGGACACCGGTCACTCAGAACTGGTACACTTCAGTGACCCACTACATAGCATACTACAAACAAAGGTACTTCACATTAATCCATCGTAGAGCATAAGAGATCATCTTTTCTGAATTTCTTAGTAATAACTTTTCTTCTTATGTTAAATACATGTATCTCAGAACTTTTTTTTCAGTGGATATTTGTTGAATTTTATCCACTTTGTGTGCTCCTTGCTTTCCTAATTTATACATTATTCCCAAAATAAATTAAAGACTTGTTTGAAAACAACTTCTGTACATTTACATGTATACTTATATGTATTCAGCTAATATTAAGGAACTAAAGATGTGTCTTTTTAAGCCTAGGAAGTGAATGCTCAGAGGTAATGACATTGTTTGGTCTGATGGGTTTTATATATTGACTGTTTATCTTGATCTTTCTGATAGTTTCTAACTTCTTCTTTTGCTGTTATATCTAACCATAATGATGCAATATTTTGACTTAATTTTTCCAGTAATCTAACATTTTCTGCCTTTCCTTGCTTGTGTAAGGGGTTTCCAAGTTTTACAGCTTTCCATTCCTTTAAAAGTTACTGAGCCGAGGCCCCAAAGGTGAAGAGGCTCATTGCTTTTAAGGAATGGTGAGGTGCAAGGATATTGTTCTAATTAAAATCCACCTTTGCATTGCTTTATTTAATTTTAGTTGTCTCTTTATTAAGGGGATGTCTACTCAGTTGCTTTTGATTTAAATGCTTGAAAAAATTGAAAAATATATGCAGGGCTAAAGCTTTTACTTCACTAATTTACATGTTCCTTGTTGAATTTAAGAATAATTTTAATGATTTAGAGAAACTGTTTCTGAAGATATGCATTATGAAAACTAGATAAAAAATTTAAGTCCCTATTATGATGTAAAGTGATAAAAAAATATTTATTTGATGAGATTACATATGTATATTAATTTTGAAAAATTCCCATTTATCTTTCTTGAAAAAAGGGGTTATTTTGACTAATTAATATTTCTTTTTGCGCTCTAAATAGTTTGTAGAAAAATGATAAATGGCAAGAACTGAATATTGTATTGTGAAGGATACTCATTGTTATCAACTCTCCATTCCTATATATATGTAAAAATAATGAAACTCTTAAGCAATGAAGTAATGTCACAGGTGGATTTTAATTTTACAGTGTAATTTCTTTTTGCATTGAATATACAATTTATGATATGTAGTTGGTGTTAATTATGGATAACAATAAAAGTTTGAACAATAGAAGATAAAAATTAAATAGACACTAAATTGAATTTCTTCATATGGTCCAAAATGTAAAAATATCGGATTATAAACTCATTTATGGTTTGAAACAATTTTTTCCAATAATTTCATACAAAAAATGCAAGTTAATTTATCTGATTTGGCCATTTTTTTTTTTGATTGATTTGAATATTTATTTTAGAAGATGATTTTCAAAGAAACCACAACTCTAAGACTTCTGAATACTTTCATTACACTTTGGATAACATCTATATTTTTTCAGACATATTTTAATTTATCTTTTGACTTATTCTAGACATGAGCTGATGTACACTAGACATGACATCCTGGCAGGACCCAATGATGTGTCTCATAATGTGCAGGGTCTGCAGTCTGGGGTGGAGTACTTGTTTGTGGTAACAGCCACAAATCAGGCAGGGGAGGGAGGGAGGAGTAATAGTAGATCAGCCAAAACTTTTAATGCAGGTTTGTCTGTATGTCTTAAACTGAAACTAAATAAGATAAAATATTGTACATGTACTTTTGTATAATGACTGTGAAGATTGATTTAAAACATTGGAAAAGATAAGAATGCATGGAAAAAGGACTTTAATTTTTATACCCCCCGCAAAGGAAGTTTGGGGGGTATATAGGAATCACCTTGTCCGTCTGACCGTCTGTCTGTCTAGCTGTCTGTCCGTCTGTCTGTGCAAACGTGTCTGGTCCATATCTTTCTTATGGAGGGACATTAGAATCTACTACTCCACACAAAGATTGCCCATGACCCAAGGGTGTGTCGTGACCTTGACCCAAGGTCATTTGGGGAAGTTCAAGGTAACTGGAAGAAAAAGTTCATAATTCGTGTCCGGTCCATTTCTTTTTTATGGATAAACTTGGTAGGTTCTCATTTCACACAAAGATTGCCCATGACCGAAGGGTGTGTCATGACCTTGCCCAAGGTCATTTGGGGAAGTTCAAGGTCACTGGAAGAAAAAGTTCATAATTCGTGTCCTGTCCATATCTTACTTATGGATAAACTTGGTAGGTTCTCATTTCAACCAAAGATTGCCCATGACCCAAGGGTGTGTCATGACCTTGACCCAAGGTCATTTTGGGAAGTTCAAGGTCACTGGAAGAAAAAGTTCATAATTCTTGTCCGGTCCATTTCTTTTTTATGGATAAACTTGGTAGGTTCTCATTTCACACAAAGATTGCCCATGACCCAAGGGTATGTCATGACCTTGGCCCAAGGTCATTTGGGGAATTTCAAGGTCACTGGAAGAAAAAGTTCATAATTCATGTGTGATACATATCTTTATTATGGAAAAACTTACTTCTGAAAAAACCCAGCGGGGGGTATTTTGTCCCATTTGGACAGTTCTAGTTGTCTTTATCATGATAGATCCATCAAGTCCAAGAAATGTGCATGTAAATAATGTGGGACCCAGCTCCATCACAGTCACCTGGGAGGTTCCAGAAACCACCAATGGAATCATTCAGAAGTACCAGATCTGGTATCAAATTAGCCAATCAAATGAAGGTGTGCAGTATTTTGTTGTCTGAGCACATTTTAAAACATGTGTAATGGTTGTTTTCATTTCCATCAACCTATCAAGTTAGCTTTCATAAATAAAAGCACTGCATGTCGTAAATAATAAGTTGATAAATTTCATGTTAAATAACAAATAAATTTACAGAGCCAGAGAAAATTCAGGTTCAGGCCCCTACCACTTCCTACACTGTGACAGGGCTACTAGCTTACACTGAGTACCAGTTTAATGTCAGGGCAGCCACAGTGGAGAAGGACGTGGATCTGTGGGGAAATTTCTCCTCCATGGTGGTCACTAGAACAGAGGCAGCAGGTACAAAAATCACATTTCAACAGTTAGAGATGAATCTGTATTGATTCATTTAACCTTATGTAATTCATTTACCCACACAAACCAAGTTGGGTGGGGGGTTATACAGGAATTCCCTTGCCCACAAGTCGGTTTGTCTGTGTGTCCATTCAGTCTTGTCAGGGCTATAAAATTGTAACAGATAATCATTGGAAGATCATTTTTGGTCAAGTATAATTATTGTTTATGACCTGAAGAACTGATATTACCTTGAATCAAGGTCATTATGTCAAATTCTTGGTCACTGAAAGAATAAATGTAACATTTTGACTGGTCTACATTGATTTTCTTAATTGATAAACAGTGGAAGTTGATACCTTGTGAAAATATATTGCAAAGATTGAGGATATTTCATGACATTTTAACCCAAGATAATTTGATCAAGTTCAAGGTCACTTTTAGAGAAATGTTTGTTTGCTACCCTGACCATCATTATTGTAATGGAGAACAAAAAAAGTTCATACCAAATATGTATGACATAAGTTAATGTAATGACCTTCACCTATCCTGTCAATCAAGTTCAAGGGCACTGACAATAAAAGTGTTTTACATGCACCTGTGTCTGATCTATGATTCTTTTATGGAGACTCAGTGAAGTACCTGTACTTGACAAATATTTTACTCTTAGATTTTGCATCTTGTGTACAAGTGTTTACTAATTTGGTTCCTTATTTTAGCCCCCAGTGGATCCCCACGTTCAGTTGAAGCAAGGCCCATATCTTCCACTGAAGTGCAAGTTTCTTGGCAGGCAAGTTTTAAATTATTTTGCTTTTTTATGGCATCTAAGGTCTTCCTGTTTTGTTCTTCAATAGTTACAGAGTTAGAGAGATCACTCACATACACTGTAAATGCCTGTGAAGCACGAACAGTGATCAGTATAATTAGCTCACCTGAGCTGAAAGCTCAAGTGAGCTTTTCTGATCACATTTTGTCTGTAGTCCGTCTGTCCGTCCGTCTGTCTGTCTGTAAACTTTTCACATTTTCGACTTCTTCTCAAGAACAACTGGGCCAATTTTAACCAAACTTGCCACAAAGCATCCTTGGGTGAAGGGGATTCAAGTTTGTTCAAATGAAGGGCTAAGCACTCTTCCAAGGGGAGATGAATAATGAAAAATTTATGGTATCTTTTAAAAATCTTCTTCTCCAGAACCACTGGGCCAGGAAAGATGAAACTCATGTGGAATCATCCTCAGGTAGTGTAGATTCAAGTTTGTTCAAATCATGACCCCCGGGGGTAGGGCGGGGCCACAACGGCCAATCAAATTTTTACAAAGAAATATACAGGGAAAGTCTTTAAAAATCTTCTTCTCCAGAACCATCGGGCCAGGAAAGATGAAACTCATGTGGAATCATCCTCAGGTAGTGTATAATCAAGTTTGTTCAAATCATGACCCCTGGGAGTAGGACGAGGCCACAATGGCCGATCAGAGTTTTAATATATAAATATATAGGGAAAATCTTTTTAAAATCTTCTTCTCCAGAACCATTAGGCTAGGAAAGATGGAACTCATGTGGAATCATCCTTAGGTAGTGTAGATTCAAGTTTGTTCAAATCATGACCCCCGGGGGTAGGTCGGGGCCACAATGGCCAATCAAATTTTTACATAGGAATATATAGGGAAAATCTTTTAAAAATCTTCTTCTCCAGAATCATTGGGCTAAGAAAGATGAACTTCATGTGGAATCATCCTCAGGTAGTGTAGATTCAAGTTGGTTCAAATCATGACCCCGGGGGGTAGGGCAGGGCCACAATAGCCGATCAAAGTTTTACATAGGAATATATAGGGAAAATCTTTAAAAATCTTCTCCAGATCCATTTGGTTAGGAAAGATGAAACTAATGTGGAATCATTCTCAGGTAGTGTAGATTCAAGTTTGTTCAAATCATGATCCCTGGGGGTAGGGCGGAGCCACAATGGCTGATCAAATTTTTACATAGGAATATATAGGAAAAGATCTTCTCGAGAACAGAAAAGTTTTGTCAAATTGACATGTAAACATCTGAAAGTAGCGAAGATTTAAATTTATTCAAAAATTGTTGGGGGGGGGGGGGGGGGCAATATGGGAGATTGAGTAATATATAGGAAAAAATCTTTAAAAATCTTCTTTTCAAGTATGTCAAAATTTTACATGACTTTTGTATGGTTTATTGATATATTGACATTTTCAAGTTAGTAATAGAAAATAAATCCCCCTAATCCAACAAGTAAGCTTTTCAATAATAAGCTGATTTTGGTTTTTTAACTAGCCCATGTTCTCAGGTGAGCGATGTGGCCCATGGGCCTCTTGTTCTAATTCTGGTTTATATTGCCATCCTTTCCACTTAAATATTGATATTAATTTATAATTTATATAAATATCTAATTAATTTCTTAAATAGGGTTTGTAGAATCATGTTAATAATTCGTACATGTAACTATATATAAATATTAAATAAACTATTTATTTTAGGCCCTACCCAGTAATGAACATAATGGCCCCCTGAAATTCTACCATATTAGATACAAGTCTACGGCACCTTCTTCTGGCTTTTCTGAGGTGAAGAGCGTTAATTTTACTGAGACATCAGGGATGATAAATAACCTTCAACCCTGGACAGAGTATGCTATTACCATAGAAACAGAGAATGTGGCAGGAAGAGGTCCCCCCAGTTCAGGGGTCAAAGTTCGTACTTTTGCACTAGGTGGGTTTAGAAGGTTTAGAGAAGCTCGTATGGTCTGCATTCAAGAATTTTGTTAATTTGATGTTTTAAAACACATATTTCACAAATTTTGGATAAACCTTGTTTTATATCTGGCAATGGAGATGTGGGGTAGCCAGAAATATAGTCATGTATTTGATTTTCATTGAAAATTAACTTTACAAGCACATTCATGGATCTTTTTTTTTTATATGTTTGTATCCTCCTAAACTGAATTATGATCTGGAAATTTATTTTTAAGAATTGAGAGTTGATTTGTAACAAGAGAATTTATTTCACATTTTCAGCCCCTAGTAGTCCCCCAACAAATATCAGACTCACAGCAGTGTCCAGCAGTGTAGTCAATATACAGTTTAAGGTAACAAGTTATGGAATTTCTACCAATCTATGCACTAGATGATTTAAAGCTATATACATGTGTGTACATGTGAGAACTTTAAAATAATATGCACGATGTAATTCTTGACTGTTTCTTATTTGATGTAAACGTGATAATTAATCAGACGAGTGTCTTTGCACAGTCCCATCAGTGATGTAAATCATTTATAATAACTTTTTAGTTACCTGACCCCTCCACTTGGAATAGTGACATTTCTGGTATAGTGGTGGAGGTCCAGAAGGATGGTGAGAAAACATCAAGGGAGGTCACTCTTCCCACGACACCAGGTTCTCTCCCATACAATATCAGGTCTGAGTCTTACTGTGAGAAATCTGATACTAATCATGAAATTCAGCTGGCGATGAAAGGAAAGGATCAAGAGGGGATGGAAAGGATATATATATATATTATGTGAAATATAAAATAGTGTGATTCAGGGATACATGTTTTTTATTTATAAAACTAAAAAAGAATATTATTATAAATTGTAATGGAGAAGAAAAAGTATTTAGTATTTTAATAGAATAATAGTGCTTAAGAAAAATTTTTTATCTAACATTCGTGACTGAGGTTCTTTTATTCTGTTTTCAGTGACCTTGAGCCCTGGACTTTATACAGTGTTAGAGTGGCACTATACACGACTCAGGCAGACAATGGAACAGGGCCCTGGAGTGATTGGAGACTAGTCCAAACTCAACAGTCAGGTACTAGTTGACTCAAAAATCATAATGTAGTTTTGCAATGTATTTTTGTGTAATTTTTTTAATCTAAGAAATATATACATGTGTTGCTTTTTGAATTGTAGTACCAGACAAGGTTGGACAGTTTGGTTACCAAGGCACCCCGACCAGTATAACAGTTTACTGGTCCCCTCCCCTCAAACCTAATGGAGTCATTGATTTGTATGTAGTGAAGCATTACCCTTTACCAAACGGACAGACAAACAGACAGAGTGGTCTCACTGAATCAGCAGAAGCTTACTTGTCACCTTTTCCCTATCCAGTTATATATAATGCTTGTGATTCTCTGACTTATTTAAATTCTTCTTATTCATCAATCATGGATGACATTCTTCAGGAGATTCTGGAAAATAAAGATTCCGATATGATGAACAATTTCTCTGCATTTGTTTCGAAAGTTGCAGGTCTTCATTTGACCTTGAATAATGTTACAGATGAGAAGAATTTTAATATGAGCCTTGGTATAATCAGTGATTCATTCAGTCAACTGGATTTGAATGCATTGACTTGGATGTCTGCCTGGAATAGATCAGTATTTGATCTTTGCAGTGATTTACTCTGGGTCAGAAATGGTAATTACATGTATTTAATTTACTCAAAATTTCAAGTTGCATGGGCATAATTATCACAGCCTTCCAAACTTAAATTGCCATTATTCTGACATTTTCATGATACACAATGTTATATGCTTCATGTTTAGGTCTGATATACCAAAATACAACAGGGACCCGTACTGTCTTAGAGAACCTGCAGCCCTCCATGGAATATGTCGTGGGAATATCAGCCGTCAACTCCAAAGGAGAGGGCAAGGTTTCCATACACACTGCCAAAACTGGTATTAACCTACAATTAATATAGACTCACACAATTAGTGTGATGGCCCTTTTTATTTCACATGTATATCATATATTATTTATAAGTACTATAAATAACTTTTTTAAGAGTACTAAAAGCAGGAGTAAATGGAACATGTATCAACAATTTTGATACAGAACTAATATTGCTGTATTTTTAGATTCTCTTCCCCCACCTCCAGCACCACCAAACACCACAGAAGGTACCACCGCTAACACCACCACTGTCCTCGGTAACTCCCTGGCTCAGGGTCAGGAGGACAAACTGCCGGTGTACTTAGGGGGTGCTGCAGCAGGGGCGATACTGGTCATCTTCATACTGGCCATAGTTCTGTGTGTCTGTATCAAGGAGAGAGAGAGGCAGAATCTGGTAGCTTCCGGAAACTTTGGTAAGTTGACTGGACATTTTCTTTTCTTTGGCTTTGGTTATTGTTAAGGAATTTCATTTTAATATTGTATAATAATGAGATCAAAAACTTTTGAAACAGAATTTAATTCATCAATTTCATTTATAGAAACAAGGTCTTCTGAAGGGAAGTTTGGTGAAATGCCCAGAGACAGATCAGGAAGGTATAAAAAATTTTAATCCAACAATGGGAATGTATATATTAAAACATGAAAATCATAAAATAACAACAGGAATGTTTTTATAAATTGATCTTTGTATTGCACTTTATCTGTCATATATTTGAAATTCAGTCTTATCACTAAAATCAAGGGTAATTCAAAGTCTACATTGTGGATAGGAGCCGATCAATTATTCTCCGTGCAGAAAGATTTTGGATAGAGAAAAGTAAACTCTCTTTCTCAGACTGCATGTTAACTAGATTGTTGTAGTAGTGGAGAGCAATATGTTCACACTTTGCAAGGAACAAGGAGGATTTTTACTGAGTGCTTTCTTGTTTTCCTGTCTTAGACAGCATAACGTATAAGTGGAAATTTTAGGGAAACGCAAATTAAAGACGTACAACACACTGGGGGAGATAACTCTTGCAATTTCAATTGAACGTTTGATGTGACGTCAAACTTAACGTCAAAAATAAAGCGTCAAAATGACGAGTAAAACGATCCCGATGTATATCAATCATAAAAGGAAAATGGGATATGGGGCTTGGCTGTGATTATGAGTACCATACTCAATCCATATGTATTTTTCAATTAACCCGATTAAACTCCGTAAAAAGCAAGACATAAAATACCATCCCTTAATGGTTTATTTCATTTCATATGATCAAAGCGCAGCATTTTTTTTATGCTGAAAAATTTTATTTTACATTGCCGAAATTCTCATTATGAACAATTGGCTATATACATGTATAACATTCCGATTAATGGTCTTTATCATAATTTGTGCATTTACTATATAAATATTGTTTTTCTTCTTTAATTGAATAAAACAACAATTAACAAACAAAAAACTTTTTACAATGTAAAATCGATGTTGTTCTCAGACCCTTACTGAACAAAGAGGAACAACTCTAATAATGTAGGAGATGTTTGTTTTCCTCCCTTTATTCACGGTTTTCCGCATACACAGAATCAAATACAGCAAGACCTGATAAATCCGAGAATTCAATTGAAAACTACGGTATAGACCTCATAGACACAATGTTAGTAAAGAATTGAAAAGAATTGTTTACTAGTACTGAAATTATCTGAATATTATGAATATCCTATTGCAGCAAATCGTTTGACTTTCTGTCACTGTCAACAATGTCGGTTCGCATTTCCTCGAATCAAAATAAAACGTAGCCTATAAGATTTTTAAAAATATCAATGTGCGATTTGATATAGATTAAAATAGATGAAGAGTTTAATGCATCTCGGAGTTTTCCTTTTAACTTTAGAAGCAATGACATTGTGCGTACAGTATCGTGAGGGGTGTACATGTATTCAAATGTCCATGTATCCCCAGTCCCCACGACCACATACTGTCTCGAGCTCGTTTGAAATAATGACATGAAAGAAATAAATATATAAGCTAGGATATAATTATTCCATTTGTATCACAAGAGAGAACATACACCATTTTTGTTGATGAATAAAATTAAAGAAATAAAATTAATTAATAAAAATCAACATATTCATGTGATATGGAATGCATAACGCATACATACATGTGGGTTAAACACTAAAATCCTTCTTATTTTCCCATATAAAACGAGCAGTCAATATTTATTCTGCATTCATTAATTTAAAAACTAATGCATACCTCCGGGATTCAAATTTACTAGTTATGTGCACTGTACAAACGACGTTTCTAATGGTCTGCGACGCAAAAAAGGATGGGGTGGGGGTGGTAGGGGTGTTCAAAAATTGCCTAAAAATCTACATTTAAATACGTTTTACATATGAGAACTTTTCAATATGTAAGTTAATATATTTTTGAAGCAAAAGCAATATTCCAATTTGATTTTTTAAAAATGTGTATATTTGTAGATTCATAGTAAAGTGATCGACCCCGTCTGAAAGACGCGCGGGTACGTGATTTATTGAGAAGGGGGAGGATGTAATTTTCCGCTATTTAATCAAAACTGGTTGTACAAAAATTATACAAAAAATTATGAAGATAATTTTTACTACCAGCTACTTAAATAAAGTTTTTTACCAAAATTAAACGAAAGATTTTTTCACAAAAAAATTTTGAATTTGAAAAATACACAATTTCCAAGGCTTAGATAATTCATAATTTTTTTAAATATTGTTTTGATGATATGTATATCAAAAAGATGACTATGTTTTTGTGTTTAAAGTCTATGAAATTTGACAGTTATATCTAACCTGGCTTTTTTGATTTTAAAAAAAATTTCGCTCCTTGCAACTAAAGGGGGGTAACTCTTGGACTTTTGTCCAAAATGTGCATACATGCAGTAGATATAGTCATGTACTAAATATACAAAAATAATGAAAATTAAACGACAGGAATTTTTTGGGTTAGGTGTGTTGTACATCCTTAAGTGATTTCTCCTTAAAAACTGGTATTTTATTTTTAGCGAGAAGTAATTTTAGCGATTTTAAAATGCTCACTAAAGAAGCTAGTACAAACAACATGCCATTTATTTTTAGCAATATTCAATTTTAGCAATCTTAACAACCTCGCTAATAATGCCAAAATTAAATCCTCGCTAAAATTTTTACTTATACGGTATTTTATTTGGTTTACAGAGCTATGGTCATCTGAAGGAGAGCCAATCAGTGGCTGCCTCATCCACCTTCCCAGGAATCCGAATCCACAAACCAGACTCAACAGGTGAGTTAATCAAATGTTTAAAAATCTAACAGTAGTTTAAGCTGTGCCTGATCTAACTTCATTTGTTAAATGAAATGATACCTCTGATCCTGACAATGTTATTTTTCACATTTTTCTTTACTTTTATTTCTAGGTATAGAGAATCCGTCCTACAGGCAGGGAGTGTCAGACCCCGGGGGTGAGTGGCGACCAGACAGGGAATCTATCTGTGTGTCCATGGATCTCTCTGCTGAGGAGGTCTACTCCAGGGTAAGGGAGGTTACTGATAGGGACCAGTGTCAATACACAGAAACTTAATACTGAGATATAACAAGGACTTTACATGTACCATGATAAATATTGAATACTTTTGCTTTTCATTAGTTCTGTAATTTTTTTTTTAAAGAAAATGTCTAAAAAATTATCACAATATTTTTACGACACGTACATCACTACTTATGAAGCTTCTCTGTGTATACATTTTAGAAAAAACTCAGTATATCTGGTTTACTAGTAGATGAAAGAGAAAATCCAATTTTTGTTATACTTCATATTTCAAGCATAACAAATGTTATCTTTCTTGTTGTCCTAGGCCTCCACTCTGCAAAGGAAAGGCCAACTGAAGACAGAGAATGCAGAGGCGATAGCTGTGATGAGGAATAGTCACCTGCCCCTGGGGGTGGATGATACAGACTCCCTCATACCTAACGATTCTGTGGTCGTGTTCGCAGAGAGGACTGCCCTTTGATTTTAAAAAATGAAAATTCTCAAATAGTCATGGCATTGTTAAAATTTTGACTAAGTTGGATATGTTCTCAGTCATATTGTAACATGCATGCAAGCTGTGATAACTTTTACCTTTTCTCCTTGTTATCACTATATTCTTTTTGCTAATTATTCACAACATTAATTATGGTTCCTCCATGTTTTGCAACATTACCTACATCTTGGATGCTTCAAACTGATATCAAGGGAGCAAGTAACATTTATTCCACTGGTAATTTTGAAAATGACATTGTCAATTTATTAGTCATCTGTGGAAATTTTAGCAAGGTCTCCTTAAAATATGGTAATTTATTTTTAGCTGGCTTACTAAAGATGCTGTTACAAAAAAATTTTTTTTAGCGAATTTAATTTTAGCCTCTCATGTGTTTGCATCACAAAAGTGTTGCATCACAAAAGTGAAACATCACCACATTTTAAGTATTTTCAGTTGTCTATGCAAGGACTTATTCAAGAAAGATTTTAGTTACACAATGATTTGAGATTGTGTATGTCTTATTATTTGAAATATTGTAGAATTTAATGAGGGACTTTTTATGTGTTGTGCTGTTGCTTGATGTTGTTATTTTTTCAGTAATGTTATCAAAGTCTATTGACATTCCAAAACATTTTGCCTGATCATGTGTAAAATGATTTTAGGGTAAATGAATTATTTTTGCATTCCAGTTGGTTGTTGGTTGCGTTTTACAACGAAAAAGCACTAAAATCATGAACAATAACCAATACATGTACATTCCTGTTGTGCTTACAAGCATAAAGTCGGTTGTTCATTTCTTACTTATAAATATGTATGTGACTTTTTTTACAAAACATTTTTGATAGTTATTGTTAGCTTTCAAAAGAAAAGATCTCCGTTACTATGAAAGAATATTATGAAAAGTCAGGTATAAATATTAGAATGTTTTTTTCAAAGTTGTCAAGGTGTTATATGTGCATCATCTTCATTGGAATTTTTTATGAGTGTGTTTAATTTGTTATAAATTTTCATCTCACTTGATTTTGCATTTATATGATTAAAGTTTATACATGTACTTGCAATAGATTTTTAATAAATGAAAGATTTTTTTTCATTTCCATTTTTCTGGTTACCTGAGAATTAGATTATCTAAAGAATTCAAAAATACAGACCATAACAAAAATATTCATCTGGTTACCTGTTTTTCTTCTTCTTAATTCTGAGAAGTGGTAGGACAGCTGTATAATACATGTATATATTTTAAACAAGAGTTGTTGGTTGACAATTTTTAACCTTTACTATGACTTTTATGCGGGTACAAACATAAAAAATCAAAAAAAAATAAAAAATATAAAATAAAAGCATTTTAAAAAAAATTCGGATTTATTTATTATGGCCTTATAATCCAAGTATTCACATTCATCAAGTTTTTTGAAGGAATATCCTTGATTACAGCAAACTTTTGGGACAATTTTTGTCTAGCTTAGAGCTTTTAACCAAATGTCATGAAAAAATGCAGCATTTTCAAAAGCATATTGGTGTAATAATGTTCATCAAAGTGTCCTATATTCATTTCTGTCAATATTTCCACATGTCATAAGAATTTGAATTCATTACAACCTTCAGACTTTAAAATTTCCAAAAAGGTTGAGTCAATGATCAGCATTGCTATAATAATTATTGGAGGTAATAAGCTCCACATCAACTGCCTATACCAAGAATGGTTAGAAGTAGATACATAACACTGTATTATTTATTTATTATTGTATTAATTATTTGATCAAGATGCAAAGACTGAAGTAAGACCATAGGGATGCAATGAGTAGAACTGCATGCATCATATTGACTTTCAACCAATGCAGTTATTTTCTAACAAGTACTTTCCCTGGTGTTGAAGAGACCAACAAATAAGGCCTAGTTATCAAAGGCAAACAAACTGTAAACTATGTGCCCCTGCACTGTTCCATTTTGAAAGTTTGAAGAAGAAAATGCAGTTCTCCTTTCAATTTAACTTTACAATTGGTACTGTATAACTATACAATTATAAATAACCTATCTAATTCATTTACAAAACAGCACCTACATGCTGAAATGAATCGTTGACAATAATATTAATTCCAACAAATCACAGATCAGTAAAACTCAATTCGGGAATTATCTAGGATTGTTTTGCTCTAATGTCAGAGACTGTTGATATGTTATAATTAACACACAATGATCATCTGTATAATGACATTCCCTAGCTGTTAGCTTTGGCCAATAATTCCCTGGAAATGATCACCCTTTGTATCTGTGCTGTGCCTTCATAGATCTGTAAGAGAAATTGAAAAGACTACTTAAGCACCAATACATGTACATGTATAAATCTCCTCATTCTGGTCATAAAATCAAAATCAATGATTTCAAGAAATTCTTTTACAGAAATGAGTACATATTTAACTTTATTGTCTAGAAAGTATGCTAAGTGTTTATTTTTTGTAGAAATCTTTGTTCCACTATCGTGGACTCTGAGCAATTATTCCAGCAAACTTGCTTTTGTTTTAAATTTGAAGAAAAAGTTTACACAGATCAACACAAGAAAACTAAGTTTATCCATTACATGATTGTGTTTCTCTCTAAGACAACTTGCCTGATAAATTTTAGCATCTCTCATCAACTTCTCAACTGGATATTCTGAATTGAAGCCATTTCCTCCAAACACCTAAAACATTTATATAAAAAAAAAATTCAATTAAATTGAAAAATTTACAATCATTTGTAACAGAAAGGAGAAAATGTGACAGACCTAACTGGAATTTAAACTTAATACTCAACAGAGCTATCTGTATCTAAGCATGTCAGATCTCTACTCCCACCTCCCTCTTTAAATGACTCCCCCATTCCCAAAGACAACAAACTCCTCCCTCTTTTCAAATGCATTTCAACGTCCAAAACATCAATCCAGTCTTATTTTTGTCATGTTTGTTTTTTGTCATGCAGGCCTCATCAGGATTCAAATTAAAGGTTTTCTGAACTTTAATTATACAGTGCTCAATCTAATCGATTAAATTGTATACAGTATCCAGTAATCTGAATAGCTTGATTGCCATACTAACACCCCCTCCCTCCCCCATATTACTTAAGATTGTTTAATGCAATTGTCGCCACATAAATGAATACTGAGAAAAATAAATAATTGTGACATTTAGATTAGACACCTTTTCCATAAAATATTGAGAAAAGGAGAACTAGTGTTATTTTAATTACCTGTACAGCATCGGTGGCACATTTGTTGGCGACATCGCCAGCGAGGGCCTTGGCGATGGAGGCGTAGTATGTGTTCCTCCTGCCCTGGTCAATCTCCCACGCTGACCGCTGAGTGGCCAGTCGGGCGGTCTCCACGCCTATAGCCATGTCAGCCAGTATAAACGCTACAGCTTGGTGCTACCGTGAGTAAAATACAAAGTACAGTGACTACCGTGAAATCTCTAATTTTCAAACTGATCTTTAAAACTAATGTGTGCACATTTTACCTTTGATTCAACATGTAATAATACTTTCTATATTGAACAATTAAAATTACATGTACGTCCATATGTTCAGAATTAATTACCTCACAGATGAGTTTTCCCATGGTTTTCCTTTCCATGGAGTATTTTGTGGCCTCATCTAGAGCTCTCTGTGCCAGTCCAACAGCTCCTGCTGCCACCTACTCAAATCCAGAATACTTATATTTAAAGGCGATAAAGAAAATACCATATTATACATGTACAGTTATACCATAATAGAAATTATGGCGGTATAACGAATTTGGCGATGAACACAGTTATAGTTAACCATTTAGCTTATAATGTGCAATATAAAAACATATTTCTAAATTTGAAAATACTTCTTTATGTACAATTTTGCTAAAACAAAATGTGCAATTATGAAATAAAGACAAGTACATATGTTTGCATGTAAATGATATTGAACAATAAAAACGTGTACAGGTGATATATTGATTTTCATTTCATTGTTTATGGCATCATTGTTAATGACTTTATACCGTATAATTATTTTATTTAAGTTTAAAGCATTTTATCGTTATCGGTGTACATTAACAATGACTGCTTTCGTCACAGTGGATATAAATGATTTTTATTAAACATAAAAAAATTATTATATAATGTTAAAATTATTGTTTATTTAAATCTGATTTAATTATTTAATTGCATGTGCCTTGCTGGGTTTGCATACTTTACAACAGGGAAAGCGTCAACCAATTAGCCGCGCTTCATTTGTGGCGGTATATCGATTGACACTTAAAAATGGACGTTTGTTGTGAAAACAGGGTGGCTATTTTGGCGTTATAAAGAGAATTTTATATAGCAGGAAAAACGTTCTTGGGAAATCATGGCGGTATTGCGAAAATGGCGATGAATCGAATGGCGATAATTCGAGAATTGACTGTACAGTAAAACACAGTTATAGTTAACATGCTTATAATGAATTGACACTTACAGGGAATTGATATGAATTGACACTTACAGGGAATTGATTTTCATTCCCAATGACTTTACTATACATTTTAAACTTGAGGGATATAACAAAAAATGTTTATAATGCAAATCCTCAGTCCCTGGTATTTCTCTATAACCCTATTTACTGTATGCAGAATTTTTGTGAAACTCTACAAGTTCAAACAATAAGGAGAACTTAGAGGCTCTCTAAAGTTGGTTGATCTCATGAAGATTTGAATTCATTTAATGTCTGACATCTTTTCTTTTTCCAAAAAGAAACACATTAGACCTACTTCACAGGGACTTAAGTTCCTCAGAAACTTACCGGTGGTCTTGTTTTATCAAAAGCTCCCATTGCTATTTTGAATCCCATGCCTTCTGCACCCAAAACATTCTACAATCATAAAAAATCTGAAGTTTTAACTTTAAGTTTAATTAAATCAATTTTAATCTGCACGACACCGATTTTTCTTATTCTGTTATAAATGTTAAATAAATATTTATCATTTTAAAACAATTGCGTAAAACAAACCTCTGCAGGAACTACAACATCTTCAAAAGTTATTCCTCTTGTGTCGGAAGCCCTTTGCCCCATATTCCACTCCTGCAATAGACAGACACAACCTAGAATTATCTACATTACACAGCTGATCTGTCAGATAACATATATCATGTGTGTGTTAGCCTCTTTCCCATACTGTCTCTATTGTAAACAAAGTTTTTTGTGTTTTATAATTGGGGATATTGAAGGAAATATTTGTAATAATAGTTGTACTTTTGCCAGAGTGAATGATATATTACCAATTATCTTAGGAATGTACATCTTTTCTTTTTTTAAATTCCAACAAAGAAAAAAAATCAATATTGGTCAGAATGAATTTTGGATAGCATGAAAGATTCTACAAGAGTTTATCAAAATTAGAATAATCCTAGCTTTTAAAAGCTCCTACTCAAATTTTACAGCAAAGAAATTCATTAAAAAAAAATGATTAAATGTTTATCCAGTACTTTAGTAAGTACTTGTAATTGATCATTATTTAACTCAGCACCAGTGTAACTACATAAAAAGAAAGAAGGCTGGATACTTTATCTCATTTCTTCTAATTTGTTTGAATTAAATGAAACTACAAAATTGTCAACTGACTGCATTATCTTGAAAATATTAAATAATCTGACTCAATCTGTCTCAAACCGTTAGGCTTTTTCAATCAATCTGTGGACATTTTTTTTGGGGGGGGATTTTTATTTTAAAGGGGTGGTGTTGTTGGTAGGGTGGGTTGGGGGTGAGTCATCCTCTGCAACATACAAGATAAAACCAGAACAAGAGGCCCACAGGCCTTATAGGTCACCTGAGTATCACGTAACAACTTTTCAACAATTGAATTTGGTTTGTGTTTTAATCCAGAGGCCATGAAGTTCACATTATCTTAAAAATATTAAATAATCTGACTCAATCTGCAATCTGTCTAAAACGATTAGGCTTTTTTAATCAAGCTGTGGACATTTTTTTTTGGGGGGGGGGGGGGTATTTTAAAGGGGTGGTGTTGATGGTGGGCTGAGTTTATTCAGGTGAGCTAAAAATCCTGTACTTCAGAATTTGATGATAAAAAAAATATAAAATATGCATATACATGCTAAATTAGTCAGTTTGAATATCATTTTAATGATTTTCTAGATTAAAGAATGACCCTGACCTTCCTTCCCACAGTAAGGCCTGGTGTATCCCTGTCCACGATGAATCCTGTGAAAGCTTTGCCTGCTGATGTCTTAGGATCCTCTGCAGTGCGGGCTAACACAAAATACCAGTTAGCATGGCCCCCATTGGTGATCCACATCTTCTGGCCATTAATAACGTACTCATTTCCTTTCTTGACGGCTTTAGTTTTGATCCCTGCTACATCTGACCCCGCTCCTGGTTCAGTGACACAATATGCCTATAATAAAAAGAATTCAAAGAAAAAAGGTAAAACTAGTAAAATTAACATTAAGACAGGCATGTAAAACTTGAAATATGATAAGACTTGTTAAACAAAAAATCTGTAAAACTAAAAATAAGAAACTTTGGTCTGTAAAATGAAATGTAAGGAAAAGCAGAGAAAATCAATGGACCAGATCAAGATATAAAATTTTGGGACCCCTGAATCTCCATTCAGCTGCTTGACCAACTGAGCAACAGGATCTGGCCAACAGTGAACCCAACTGACCATCACATTTTTCCCTTCCTTGTCATGCATGTAATAAATGCAATATATCATCAAAAATGCCACTTACACACATTAGTGGTTCCTCCAGCATGCGACCTAGATATTTGTCCTTTTGAGCTTTGTTCCCAGCAATTATAACAGGCATTTGCTGTAAATGAAATGTAAGGTTGAATTATTATAAAACGGCTTTATAAATACAAATAATGGACATTGTTCAGCAAAATTTAATTTATGCACCCTGATCGATAGATTGGCGGTGTATATTGTTTTTGTCCTGTCTGTCTGTCTGTTTAGCTGTTTGTCTGTCTGTTGTCAACTTTAACATTTGCCATAACTTTTGAACCATGAGAGATAGAGACTTCATATTTTGTATGCATACTTCACTTATTAAGCTTTTTCAAATGACACCAAGGTCAATGACCTTGTGACCTTGACTGTGACCTATATGCTAAAAATAGCTTTTTCAAACTTTCCCCTAACTTGAGAACCAAAGGAGATAGAGACTTCATATTTTATGCACACTCCATTAATTTAGTTCTTTCAAATGACAACAAGGTCAATGACCTTGTGACCTTGACTGTGACCTATATGCTTAAAATAACTTTTTCATACTTTGTTGCCACAGGGCATATAGTGTTTCACAAACACAAAGGTCTTTTTTTCAAAATGAAAGGTGTAAATTTCCGAAATTCTTGCACAATTTTTTTTTTAAAAAAAATGTGTACTAACTATGAAAAAATCTTTTTTAAAAAAACATCATTTTTGTTTCAAAAAGAGACATTTCATTTAAACATTTACACATTTGCACCTAGAAATATCATTTCAAGATTTTTTTCAAGTGGTTCTTCGTGATTATTTTCCAAAACTGACAATCAGCAGAAAGATACAAATTTTTATAAAGTAACTGTAAGACATAATTAATCATCAGCACTCAAAGATAGTAATAACAAATCTAATGTACTTTCATATCCCTGTACAGCCATATGCTATGTTCTTCTGTTTACCACTGTTTATTCAAAACCAGAGTTAAATTGATGCTCAAATGTGCATGTTGATCAAACCCAACTTTGAAGATTTTTTAAAATGAATTTTGGTTAATATCCAACTTTTCCCAAAAAACATAGAATTTTTTAAATTCAGGCCCCGAATCTTCAAAAGTGGTGTGAGAGCCCTGCTTTGTTGCCACCAGGTGCATAGTGTTTCACAAATACATCTTGTTCATTTCAAAATGGGCTTAAAAAATATTCTTGAACAAATTTAAAATAAAAACAACTCTGAAAAAATAGTTTTTAAAACCTCTATGTAAAGATTAAGTTCATTAATACCTAATTTAAACTTTTAAAGTCAAAAGTTTTCTTCATGATTATTTTCCAGAAATTTTTTATAAAAGTAACTGTAAGACATAATTAAGTTTGACATACCCCAAGCGAGTTGGCCTCAATAGCGGTTTGTATCCCTGTACAGCCATATGCTAGTTCTTCTGTGACCAGGCAGGTGTCAAAGATGCCAAGATCCAATCCCCCCTGTTCCTTAGGAATGTGCATGTTGATCAAACCCAAACCGTGGGCCTTCTTAATGATATCCCATGGGTACTAAAGAATAAATTATAAACAAACAATAGAATTTTTCAAATTCAGTGGAATCTTCCAAAGTTCTACTCTTGAGGTATATGTATATACATTTTTTCAATTTATTTATATGCTAGAAAACACAACAGATGTAATGTTTAAACTGAATGTTGCTTAAAGTCAAAAGTTTTCTAAGAAATGAAGTAGTCAAGGATTTGCATCTGTTACTATCTGCAACTTCCTTGTTTTTACCTCTAGCCATTCACTTTAAGACCTTAACTTTTAAATGTTTCAATAATTCTCGAGTCAAGGTATCTGGTTCATCATCCTCTAGCTTATCTCCCCTGTTTCATCATCCTCTAGCTTATCTCCCCTGTTTCATCATCCTCTAGCTTATCTCCCCTGTTTTATCTTCCTCTAGCTTATCTCTTCAGATTTATCACATCATCCTCTAGCTTAATCCCCCTGTTCTTTTTTAAATCCTTTTGATTCTAGTTCTTACCTCCCCTGTTTTATCATAGTGAGGAGCATTTGGGACAATTTCCTCTCTGCTAAATTTCCTGGCTAAGTCCTGGTATTCTTTTTGCTCATCTGATAATTCTTAATAGAAAATAAAATTATTGTGAGAAATTTTGACATTAAATAAATTAACAAATATTAAAATGTACATGATTAAAAATAATAAAGATTGATGGTATACAAAAGCATAAATTACAAAACCTACACTGGATTAATAATTTAAGGAGTGTCAAACACATTTTTGCGGAGAGGTGTCCTTCCATGCATCAAGTACCCTCTTTACATTGCAATCTAATTTCAGGGTACTTTTCTGTAATTAGTCTGATCTACCATTTGATATAAAATAGAATAAATTGCAATATGCTCCGTATTACATAAATTGTAAGTAATTCATTGACAAGTATTGTAAACTTTATATTGAACCATGATAGAGTGATTGACACTTTATTTGAAAATTAACATTTTCCCCATTTGAGTGTATAAGCAAAATAATTTTTCTTTATCATAAATTTATATTTTTTTTATGATTTTTCCTGTTTATAAAAGGCAAATACCCTATATGTTAAAGTGAACTAAATGATCTCAATATGTACTCTTTAACACTAAATAACTTACTCAAAGTCAAAAAAGCATACATGTATTTCATTAGTGTATGGAGGGTCCTTAAGGAATAGCGAGCATTATCAGCACTAATTTGCATCACAAACAGAACCTGCTTAGGTTTCGAATGTGAACTCACAGCTAAGTGCAAAGATGGTTAGGGACCTTATTTAGTGCATTATTAGTGCCCCATCATAGATAAAATATCTGCCAAAAACATAACCACTGCTCCTGTTAATAAGGAATACGAGAATTAATCAGTCTTGTTTTATGCTAAATTGAGGGTGATTACTCCTGAACATCCTGTCATTTACAACATTCCCAAACTCGCACCCTGTGACTTCTCATTTTTCTTGATTTAGGTAATAATATGATTGATTAATAAAAATAAGCAAAAAATTACCCAAGGTCCATTTAGTTCAAATCAATTCATGTTATTTAAGCTGAGAAGAAAAATAGGTTTCTATAGTTTCAGGCTTAAAAAATAGGAAGTAATTAAGCTTGCCATTTTTTCCCCTGAACTTCTTATATATAACAAGTCCTGAAAAAATCCTGAAAAGAATCTTTATTTAAAATGTCCAAAAGTTTAGCATGTTTTTCAATATTTTGCAAAGAGCTTAATCTCACATCCAAAATATTTTTGATCATACGTTGGGCTCATATTTCAATTCTTTGCTGAATTAAGGTATTCACACTCGTTTTCTGCAAAACTGCAGAACATTGCAATATCACAAATGAAAGCTCCAAGTTTTTACTTTGTATTGAGCAGACGTTTGAAATGGGACATTAGGTCTCGGTCAGTTAATCAATAGCTGAACAGGGTCATTTTATTGATAAAGTGAATCTCTTTTTTTATGCATCAGAATTTTTTTCTTTTTTTTTTTAAATAGGATCTGAGTTGTAAATTAAGGTCACCAGGGAAATCAAAAAACAAACTTTTTTTTATAGATCTTGATTCTTTTGTCAACGAAATATATTATGATTTTTTTTCTAGTAATATTCTTTATAAAATTCAAAAAAGATTTTCAAAACTACACATGCATCTATTCCATTAGTTTAACAGTATATCAATACTTATTTAATAATTACCAAAGTTAACTCCTGAGCTAGCCTGAGCAGCAGCAGAATAATGTCTTCTGGGAATTTGTCTCAATAGATGGCCAAACTTCTGAGAAATCTAACAACAAAAAAAAAGAGCATTTTTAAGTCTGTGACGCATGATACATGTATGTAAATAAAGTTGAACTTCAGAATCTTGATCTCAAATTCCAAGGATATGTCAAAGAGATTTAAAGTTTCGGCTATTTATTCAGAAATTGTTTTACTCTTGATTTCTTGAATACATGTACTTGGATATCTTGAAGTTTTTCTTTGAGTCCCATCAAAATAACAAAGTTTCACTATATTTAAACAGGGACCTATATACTATGTTTATTTACCCAAAACATCATGTACAACGTACACTACAACTTTTTCAAACTGCGTTTATTCCCAGTAAACAGGGTGTTTTCTGATTAATATCATTTATTCCTTTTATGTATTGGAATTGATTTTTAATAAATTTTAAATCATAAATAATATGATTTAAATATAAAGAAAACAAACATGAAAATCGGCAATTTCTCAGAAATATGGCTGATCATGGGCAGACCCCGGCATGTGCCAATTTTGAATAAAACAAAATTACTACTGAGATAAGGAGTATAATTCGTGCTAAAAACAAATCTTGAATGATTTTTTGATAGATAATTAAAGGTTTTAATATAAAATATGTGATAGCATTAGAGATATAATTAATTAAAGTTGATTTACAAAATCCCGCAACTTACAAGATATAGCGAGATTTGCAAGAGTTGCCTATCCAGTTAGTATAAAGGTCCCTGATTTAAACATGGGCACAACAAAGCAGAACATTCCCTCATAAAAAGCATATTCATAAAGCAAGAAAGCATTCAACATCTTGATGCAAATTATGTCAATTACTGTTTGCACAAGAACAAACTAACACACACAAATTTCAAGCAGATCTGCTCAGATTTACTACATTCCAAGTGAACTACAATTTTGACTTGTCCGAACAAAAAACTTGATTGCCCAATAATTTTAAAGAAGAAAATACTAGTTACTGTATCTTAATTTGTTGCTGTAAATAATAAAGAGTGAAAAATTAATTTCTATTTTGAACTTACTCGTAACACAATGGAAAAAGTCATTTTTTCAATTTTTTTGATATGACCATGGTGCTACATTTTGTAAAAATATATGTAAATAACTTGAGATCCTGTCATTTACTATCATGAACACACACACAGCAAAGCACTGATATTATTTTTTTACAATTTTTTAAAATAATTTTTTTCCCTAAAAAATTGAGGTCACTATTAAAAGGAAAACAGTTACTAGGGATGTGCAATTTTATCGATATACCGGTATATCGCGATTTTTTGTTGCGTGATACGTATCGTGATACGGAGACCTAAATACCGGTCTTTAGGTACATATTATAAAGTCCAGAAATTATTCATTTATTTATTCAATCTTTCAAATTACAATTACAGAAAGTATAAAAAATGTTGTAAAAAGTGAAAAGAATGGCATCTTACCGTCCAAACATAATTGAATTTATATGCATAAAAATTTCAAGAAAGTAAAGTTTTGTTTTTCTAGCATAATTGTTTAGAAAAATAATGACTTTTTATATAAAATCATTGTAAAAACTGCTTTAAAAATATCATGATATTATCGTAATATTGTGGGAAAAAATCGTAATATATCGCGATACGAAATTTTTGGCGATACCCATCCCTAACAGTTACCATGTTTTGAATCAATAAACATCAAGCATTGAGAATAACAGGTGTTCTTTACAGTACTGTAAACCAACTTTTATTCGCGTGTAAGAAATTTTCGCGAAGCTCGCAAGAGCCTTGTCATCGCGAATATTTCTCGCCGTGAACCGGTCTTTAAAGTCTCTTTGTCCATTAATAACAGATCCAAAATCGGCTTGATCGCGAAAATTAATTGCCGCGAACTAGTTTACCCCTGGTAAATCGCGAAATAAAGTCGTCACGAATAAAAGTTGGTTTACAGTATATTCTGTAAGTGAATAAATAAACTATTCTATTATTATCTACTTCGTAAGAATGTAATAAAAGTTCATAATAAGTTGTCAGACAGAGAGAATATTTTTTGTAAACTATGAAAGAAAAAAGAATAACAAACCCGATTTCTGAATAAAGGTACAGGTATGATCCAGAAACGCTACCAAGGGATTCCAAATGCAAAAACAATGTCCCGTTTTTGGCGGAAATCAACTGTTCAATTTATTGTTTTGTTTATAAACTAATGTAAGATTAAAAAAAGTGTTTCTATCAGAAATATCCACTTGCCAGATTGGACAAGTACATTGATGGTTTTACTTGCCCAAACTGCTGATTTACTTGTGCCGGGCAGTCGGACAATTGTTAATGTCGATCCCTGTACTTTGTTTAATAAAAGAAAGTTAATTAAAATAATTTTTTTGTTGATTGAACAAACTGGTTTCATCAAACAGTTAAAAATTAAAATATTGTGCAGTTTCAAAATAGTTGCTGTACAATAGAAAGGCCGGTAGACAAGTCCCTTGAATCAAAACAGAAGTGAAAATTTTTTGTCTATAAATAATTTATAGCCTGTTGAAATGTTTTGGTGATGTGTTTACAGAGATTTGTAGCATCCATTTGTTTGCAAAGGTCAAGTAACTAAGCAAGTAAATTTATTTTTTTTATTGTAATAAATGACAATTTTGCATAAGTTTGTGAGAATGAGTCCACCATTTATTTTGTTTGAACATATCTCACAACTGCTGTAGACTAACAGGTTAATTTCCATAGTGTTTCAGCATAAATCAATGTTGCTTTTTTTAAATCAGAAAATTTTTTTCCTGGGCAGGGAGGGAAGCACAGTTGTGTTCATTTTACACATTCGCCTTGAATCCACTGTACTCCACCTGGTCCTAGTGACGTGGAGTTTACAAAGCAAAATAGGGACAGGGAACCAGGCTAATGTTTCATATTGCTTTGAATATGGTGCTAAAAACAATAGGGTATGGCATCGTACAGCAGTGTGCTTATCAGCTTATAAGCCTTTACCAGTTTACATGTCAAAGAAGATAAAAATTCAGTTTTCCAATGTTTTTAAGAACGACTATGATTTTTTCATAAATATTTTCCCATTTTTAAGGCTTACACGCTTTTAAATAGTGCAGAAAAATTATTTTTCTTGATTTTGGTTGATGGGTTCAAAGTTTAAACATTAGAGGCAATTCGCACTTTCGATATCAAGGTGGTCATTGCACAAAGTGTAACAACACATGTGAAAATAATTACCTGTTTCAACGAAGACATCTTTTTCTGTTAACTGTCTTCAAAAATCAGTTTTCACAATCCACTAAAACCTTTTCGGCTTTCCTTGTGTAACTGTCGCCGAAAGGTCCGGTTGCGTAAAGGAAACACCGAGCCCGATCGAAATTGCAGAATGACAGCAGCGGCAAAAAGGGGGGGGGGTGCCACAAGTGAAATAGTTTTCTACGGGCCTCGAGTGTGTGTGACAGAGAACTACATTTAAAGGTTAAGCCTAAACTACGGAAGCGTATTAGTGCCACGCAATATTTTTTTAAAAGTTGGTAATTCCAACTTTATAGTTGGTAATTCCAACTTCAAAGTTGGTAATTCCAACTTTAAAGTTGGTAATTCCAACATTAAAGTTGGTAATTCCAACTTTAATCTTGGCTTTTCCAACTTTAAAGTTGGTAATTCCAACTTTAATCTTGGCTTCTCCAACTTTAAAGTTGGAAATTCCAACTTTAATCTTGGCTTTTCCAACTTTAAAGTTGGTAATTCCAACTTTAATCTTGGTAATTCCAACTTTAATCTTGGTTTATCCTACTTTAAAGTTGGTAATTCCAACTTTAATCTTGGCTTTTCCAACTTTAAATATTGCATGGCACTAAAAACAGCAGTTCCTGACGGGAAGTTAAGATCTGTTTTGAAGTCAGCTTTGAAAAAAATACTTTCATCGGTTATATCTAGTTATGGTTGTTGATAGGGCCCCAAACTGAAAATATTATGTTCCAATACAAAATTGATACGGTCCGAAATATACATGTATTTTTTTTCCATTAGAGAGTTATGTAATATTTTTTTTTTCCTAACAGTCATGATATATCTTTTAAAAATTAAGAAATTAATTGAATATAATCCATAGTAATTTTTATATTAATAAAAATGCATATTTACACAGATAAAAAGGAAAATCAGATATATATTAAAAGAGTTTTTAAAAAGGGAGTTTCTTTAGTCTCTTCTGCAACCCCCCCCCCCTCAGGGCAAAAATATTGATAACCAGTCTATTCCAGTGTATTACATTTACATTAATAAAGTTGATAATGGAAAAATGGGGGAGATCTCAAATTAATGTTGGAAAAGCTTAAAGTTGGAATTACATGATTTATACATGTAAGCGATAAATTTAATTTTTCGAAGGTGATTTCACGCAATGTCAACAAATGTCAACAAAGGATTATTTTTTGTGTGACCTAACAAAAATTATTTTTTTAGCTTTTGAATTTTGATATCTTTAAAAAGAAAAAGACTTTAAAGGGGATATAATTTCCACTTTAAAGTTGGAAAAGCAAAAGTTGAAATAATTTATGGACAATTATTTTTCAAAAGAAAAACGAATATATATTTTTAGCGATTAAAGGTGGAATTACCAACGTTAAAGACCAAGATTAAAGGCTTTAAAGTTGGAAAAAAGCCAAGAATAAAGTTGGAATTACCAACTTTAAAGTTGGAATCATCAACTTAAAAAAAATATTGCATGGCACTAATACGCTTCCGTACTAAACAAATATGTATTGTGATCGGCTCTTCCAGTAAGTAAGCAGTGGTAAGCTCTTTAGGTCAACCATTTGAGAAGGGGGGGGGGGGTATTTATTGTCCATAAAATCGGCAGGACAGAAGAAGTGGTATTTATTTGTTTCATCTTCACTGAAAAAAGTTTGAGAAGAAGAAATACTTTAAAAATAAGAATTAGAAAATTGTCCAAGTCCCAAACTAAATGTACTAACCACAATCGAATTATAACATGTTGCATGCACAGGTATACTCTCATCGTACGGTATCTGATTTCAATGCCTAGATCATTTTCCGAGAAGGCATCTGTCAGAATTGCTGTGAACATCAAGCTGAACAACGCTGGGGCAAGAACAGAGCCTTGCTTGACCTACCTGAAAGGGAGCAGATTGGTTGCCATTATCAAGAACTTGGCCTGTATGCCATCATGAAATTGATGCACCATGTTGATGAATATTGGTGGGTACCCAAATTTCTCCATTATTAACCATAAGCCTGTTCTATTCAATCACTTGACTGTATCAAAAGCTTCAATTTTGTTTTCCTTTAGAGGTCTACGTTAATTTTTTGTATTTTGTGCAAAATTCAATAACAAATCACATATCTCATTTATCCGGACGCTTTGGTTCCCATTGAAATTTGTCCGGATTTTTGAAAATACAAAATACACGGATATCTGAATCACCAGTTAAACAAGACAGAATAACATTTTAAAATTTTGTTACACGAGTTTCATTTTTTTAAAAATCACCGGAAAATTTGTATGGAAACATCCGGATTATTAACCATAAGCCTGTTCGTCACTTGACTGTATATTCAATTTTGTGAGGTCCACTGTATAGGCTGCTATTCTGTTCCTGGCATTTCCCCTGCACTTGTTTAGCAGCAATGATCATGTCCACTGTACCAAGGCCTGAACGGAACTCACTGCACTTACTCTCTGGTAATAACCCATTTTCAAGGTGGAGAAGAAGTATACGTGTAATATTAGTTACATAGTCTTTTAGTGACAGGGTATGGGATGATACCTGGTTAGTAAATTTCATACCTGGCGAGGCGGAGCCGAGTCAGGTATGAAATTTACTAACCAAGTATCATCCCATACCCTGTCACTAAATGACTATGTAACGAATTTACCCCACCGATGAAACATTTACGTTTTATCTGTAGTTTATAAAGGTTTTCTCTGCTAAATGCTTCATCGCGCTTATACTGTGCCTATTATGACGTCACGTTTGTGTTTGTGACGTAATACATCTGACGGGGTATAGATTTTACTGACCGGGTTTGGATTTAACCAATCGTAAGCCAGGATTTCACGGAAAAATCAACAGAGGTGGTGTAAAAAGTAATCCACCGCCTTCACGTGACAGACTTCAACCAATCGTAAGCCAGGATTTCACGGAAAAATCTACCGAGGTGGGGTAAGAATCTTTCCAGCAATGGATATATAGGAGTGAGATTCCTCTGTGGTTGTCACAGAAATTTATGTTGTATTTACGTTTATAGAGGTGTACTATTGGGGCATCTTTTAGGTCCTGTTGTAGAATTTCATTTTCCCACCATGACTGAAAAGTTTGGTCAATTTCTGAATCATCCGTGGTCCAGCAGATTTATAAATCTCGACTGGAATAGCATCGGTTCCGAAAGCTTTGCCTGCTGAGATTTGCTTTATTGCTTTCAGAGTCTCTGTGCCAGATGGAGGGTCGTCAAATGCTGTGTCGATTGGGATCTGAGGTAGATGATTTATAGCATCCTTGCTGATTGAAGATGACCTATTTATAACCGAATTGAAATGCTCTGCCCACCTGTCAAGAATACCAGGCTTGTCAGTAGTGAGTTTGGTTCCATCAGCTGATAGCAGTGGTGATTTACATGCAACCTTATGTCCTTACAGCATTCTTATGGCTTGATAAAAGCATTTGGAATTGCGGATGTCAGCATAACCCTGAATTTCTTCGGCCTTTTTGCTAAGTCATAGATCTGTCTTTCATATGCCTTGGTTTGGTCTGCACACTCTGCTTCAGTTGGTGAAGAGCAACAGTATTGGCTGGGGTCTTGTTCGAAAGGTTTTGCTATAAGAGTCTGTTCTTTTCTTCACGCAGGTTGTCTATGGCCTCTTTGTTTTCATCAAACCAGTCCTGATGTGCATGCATTTTAGGACCTAGTGTGTCAACACATACATAATGTACAGTGTTCCTAAACTCTGCCCAGTCCTGCTCAATGCTTCCAGAGTTAAAAAAGGCAATGACTCAAGTTTTTCGTCCAAAAGGTCTGCGACTAGCTACTTTATATCATTTTTGTGCAGTTTCTCAATGTTTAGTCTCTTGGGTGGTTTCTTTCCTTGTGGGCACTCGGGTGGTTGAATATGTCTCTTGTTTTAACGATTGCATAGTCAGTGAGATGCCAGTATTTTTAACGAGGAGAGGATGCACCCATGTGGTTTTTCTTTCTTTCTTGTTGGCACTTTGAAGAGTGTGTTTGTGATACTGAGGCTGTGCTGGGCACACAATCTGAGGAGACACAGGCTATTGCTGTTACATGATCCAACGCCGTGCTTTCCAATGACATCAACTCAGGATTCCGTATCTGATCCTACCCTGGTGTTGAAGTCCCCGAGAACTACTACACTATAGTTTTTCTTGTCTAGGTGTAGAGGATATGATACAGTCTACTCCAAAAGAAGGTGTATTCGGCTTTGGGCTCCTTCAGTTTCACTCAAGGCAGCAATGTCCAAATTGTATCTGATAGTTCCTTTGTTGTTCTTCTTTCTGGTCTGTTTGAGACATATAAATTTGTCCAAGTGTTCAAACGTTCCGTGCTCCTACTATATCCGGTGTATGTTTGTTGTTTTGTCTTTCTTGTATTTCAACCACATAAAGGTTATCCATACCAGTTGTGGTAAACCTTTTCAAGCCCCTTCCCCCAGGCTAAGGGAAAGGGGCTCTGGATAGAAGTAGAGCCTTTGTTGCCTGTCGACTGCACTTATAATTAGGGTGGATATGCGTCACTGGTCTTCATCCATCACCTAAACTCTCACGCGCTGGCTCCTAGCGCCGTATCCTGGTAAACCGCCTCAGGAAGCTGGTAAAACCGCGTGAGGAGGTGATGTTAACACGGCATCACTGGGCGTACTAACTTCCGCTAAGAACTCACCGCGGCCAGAGCAGAAGGGCTCCCTCACGAGTTCGTGATCAAAGCGTGCCACTTTAATTGCAAAAGTGGAACTCGGTTGTGGTCAGGAAGCTTGGAGTGAAGTCCCGTCCGTAGGCGGTATTTTGTGCACATATGGCAAAACTCCGGCAACTTCTGCATATGGATTCATTTCAAGCCGTCTTGATAACGTCTTGCCAATAGGTCAAGGTGAATTTATACGAGAGAGTGAGGTTGTTGGTGCGCGATCTTACATCATCACCAGACGATGGGCCAGATATGGCAGAATGGATTAAATGTATCAGATCCATGTTGAAATCACGCATTAAAAGATTAAGGGGCAATATGAAAACCATCTATCCTTCTGTATTCAATGATCGAGAAGTGAAAAAAAAGAATAAGATAGATTACATGATCAGAACGTACTGGTCCCGGCTGACAAAGCAGGTAACAATATTGTCTTAATTCGTTTGTAAGGCTCTTTATATAAGTTGTATTTTAGAAGAACTTGGATTTTATTCGGCAGGTGGTAATCCAACTTATACACATAGTCCCCTTTCTAAGGAGGAAATTCTTCAAAATCATATGTCAATTTTGAATATTTTTAATATCCCAAAGAACCAAAATGAATTTGAACTACCATATATATATTGGATTCCAAAACTTTATAAGAATCCTTACAAACAATGATATATAGTGGGTTCCATTAAATGTTCAACCAAACCTCTTTCTTTACTCCTCACTAAAATATTCAAAGTAGTAAAGGAGAAACTTCAAGAGTACTGTGCAACAATATATTCAAGTAGTGTTGTAAATCAGAAGTGGATACTTAAAAATTCCAAGGAAATTTTGGACAATTTGAAATCACAAGATTTCATCAAAATCAACAGCTTAAAAACTTACGACTTTTCAACTTTATAGTTTATACACAACCTTTCCCCACGATAAATTAAAGTCCAGGCTTTTTATATTATTGAGAGCTGCTTTTTCAATAAAAATGAAACTCGTAAAGAGTCTTTACTGAACTTGTCATTGATCATTTGCAAAATTATTTTGTTAAAAACATTCTGAAGTACACATCAAAAAGATGCTTGAGTTTCTGATAGACAATATCTATGTCGTTGTTTGAGACCAGGTCTTCCAACAATCTATTGGAATTCCCATGGGTACCAATTGCGCCCCGTTATTAGCAGACCTATTTTTGTATTCATATGAAGCAGAATTTGTGCAGAATCTTATGCATGAAAAAAAAACACTTGCTGTGACCTTCAACTTGACATTTAGGTAGATCGAAGACTTATGTCAATTAACACTGGTAATTTCCATTTTTAAGTCGATACGATATATCTTGGCGAGATTGATTTTACTTGAAAAAGACGTAAATGGTAATTTAGCAACCAAGCTCTATGATAAACGTGTTGACTTTAACTTTTCTATCCTCAACTTCCCTTACTTTTGCAGCAATATACCTTCATCACCTGCATACGCGTACGGAGTTTATATACTAGTATCTCAGTTGATTCGATACGCAAGAGCATGCTTTACCTATGAATGATTTCTAAAACGATGTAAATTATTTACAAACAAGTTGATGAAACAAGAATATCAGCAGTCTCGTTTAAAGTCATTATTTTGCAAGTTCTATGGTCGATACAGTGACCTTGTTTGTAAATACAAAAAATATCATTAAGTCAAATGCTGACTGACGTTTCTCATAATAATTGTTAGTCGATTATCTATACACTGAATTGACGACTGATTTTCCCGTTATTTCCAAATCATTACAAGGAGCACATGGCGGGTGTGACCAGTCTGCAGGGGATGCTTACTCCTCCATGGCACCTAGCTGATCCCACCTCCTATGTTTTGGAGGTCCGTGTTTGCTCTGCTCCTATTTTGTATTGATTAATGGGCTTTTGATCTTGAATACTGTTCGTTATCTTCATATGTTTCATTAAATCAAATTTTCAGGCAAGTCATATCTCATCTCGTAACACCACAAATCCCGGAAACAGTTTTTAAAAAAATACTTAATGTCCCTGTTCTTAAGCAAAATAACTACACGTCCTGCTCTAATCAAGTCGTTAATAATCAGTCATGTAAGACTTCTTCCAATATCTCGACTGCGGCATCAGTGATGATGGAACGAAGTTAAATTCATTTTCTATACAATCACTAGCAGCTCGAACTGAAATTAATCTTTTTTATCTAAGTTTATATTTGGTTTTAGATGTCAAGGAAATCATATCACAACCTACATGGTTAGGGGTAAAGAAGATAGACTATAGTCGTGTTGTTACATGTATAGGAAGAAGATTTATGAGGAGGGCATATTTTTTTTAAATTATTAATTTGTTAATGATCATTTAACACAAATTATGGCACATCCATACTTTTAATTTAACTTTGTGCTCATATATATATATGTTATTTGTAAAATTGTGAGACTATTTTGCTTTTGAAAAAAAATGGATTGTAAGATCTAATTAAGTCAATATTACATGCATCTTTAAAAAACACAAATTGAAATAAAACAACATTAATTCATCATATACAAATTTAATTACTTTATTAAAAATTATTCTATAGCTAGTTATTTGAACAAGTACAGTACAAGTTAATATTTTAAAGATGCTGAAGTTCCGTAATGACAATATCTGTAGACATTTAAAACCAGATCTTCCAACAACCCGATGTGAAATAGCTGTGCCACTCTTTTTTCCAATATATTTTAAATTCAGAATTTATATACAGTATTTAGTGTTCTTTAGGAAAGGTTCTAGATTTCAATTTGTCAAAAGATATATAGACGATGCTTTTATAAATTATCTATTAACAGTATATTTTTATTTGACTGTCTAGCGTAATTACGCGAAAATAAATTTCTCGCTAATAAAAAGTGATTTACAGTATATATGGTGATTACGTAAAATCACAAACAGATGGTTACTTTTATTTGTTCATACCCAAAATCAGATTAATTGTTTGAGTTTGTTGATTTAGTCCTGTTCGTTCCTTGGTGAGCATAGAGCTGCAACCACATCGCACCAACGAATTTTTTTTCGGGGGGGGGGGCTATATTTTTCAAATATTTCATTATTTCCCCAGTCTTATTGTCTTTTGTTGTTTCCAGTCGATGACTACCAGGAATATGTGGTCGGTTAGAGGATGAATCCGTGTCTTAACTCTGTTTTAATATTAAAATGATTCGTGAGCTCCCCATTGTTGATGATGTGACATTTGGCATCGACATAATACCTATGGATTTCGATGGAATTTCCTAATATTGACATATCCTTACTGTCGAAAGCATTCTCTAGTCCACAAACTTTAAAGTTGAATAAAGAGAAGATTCCCCTAGACTGTCCAATGAAAATACAAAGTGTGGCAATGTTGTCTGTATATAGTCTGTTTTGGCGGGACCTTACTTGCTCCGAACTTAGTTTCTGATTCAGTGCTTCTTTCATTCTTTCTAGGAATACGCTTCTTAGAATTAACTGGAAGTGGATAAAAGCATGGCACTTCGCCAATTTCTACACTGCAACATAACCCCATTCTGAGGTAGTTTAATAGGATATCCTGTTTTCTAGGCATCTGGTACTGAATCCTCTTCCCATATTCTTTTTGCAGTAGTGATTGTAACGCCCCTACTGACTTTGTTGGAATAGCTTTGAGTGCAGCAGGACGGATAGCACCTGAACCAGCTACCTTTCCATTTTCATTTCCTTTATAATAGCCTCTGCGATTTCTGTTCAAGATTGTAGTCCTGTGCTGATGTGAAGTTCTCCTTTTGTTTAAGGTATGCTTGCAAGACTGAGTAGTGGTGGTCGATTTTGAATTTCTTTAAGTGCTCTACCCATTTAGCTTCGTCCTACACCACTAATGATAATCATGCCTTGTCTCTTACTGGAATGGTTCTGTACACATGTTCTGGTTATTTTGTATAGCTTTTACATGTTGATCTGTCTGGTAGCTCTCTTTGTTTATTTCATGGATAAACTATTTCTTGTAATTTCTAGCACTCTTTTTGACTTGTTTCTTTTCTTCGTTACATTCTGTTCTCAGTTTCTGCTTTTGCTTAGTTTCCTGGCCTGAACTAAAACAGTCTGATCGACAAAAACATTTTGCCTGAGAATACAGTCAATAAAAGTGTTTCATACACCTTTTATTTTTCATTTGCTGGCTTCCATCTTTACGATGAAGGATATGGAGATAACGAACAATATTCAATATCAAAGTCCTTAGAACAAAATTATACAAAATAGGAGCAGATCAAACTCGGACCTTTTAAATATCTGCGGTGGGATCCAGTACCATGGAGGAGTAAGCATTCCCTGCTGCGTTTTCTCGGACGCAAAAAAATCATGAGACCGCCAAAGGCAAACAGCAAACAGAACGCATGTGCCCTCGAATACAGTCTATAAATGTTTTGTTATATCTATCAATTTTTTGACATGTCTTGTACTGTCTAATTAAAATAAATAAAAGACTATACCCACTTCTTCTTCGAAGCGGGGTGTTTAGAGTTAAAGCTGATCTCATTTACAGTGTGAAATAATTGCGGTCCATTATCTCACTCAGCAGTCCAAAATAATTATTTTCTTCGTCCACTCGGTAAAATAATTAAAATTTGAAAATTGTGTTTCTTGTCTTGATCGGTAAATGATGGAAAATCCGTCGTCAATTTAGTGTGTAAATAATATTAATGGCCTTACAATTAGCATAAAAATGTCAATCAGCATTTGACTCAATGATAAATTGTATTTGCTAACAAGGTTATTGTATCGACCATAGAAATTTCGATGACTTTAAACGAGACTGCTTATATTCTTTTTTCATCAACGTGTTCGTCAATAATATTAATTTACCTCATTTTGGAAATTGTACGTACGTAAAGCATGCTCTTGCGAATCGAATCAACTGAGATATATACCCCGTATGCAGGTGATTAAGGTATGTTGCTGAATACGTAAGGAAGTTTACGACTGAAAAGTTAAAGTCATCACGTTTATCATAGAGCTTGGTTGTTACATTACCATTAACGTCTTTTTAAAAAGTAAAATATCCAAATATGAAACAGATGTGTCAGACTCTGTGGTATCTTTTATCTCAAGCTCACCAAAATATATCATATCGACATAAGAATGGAAATAACCATTGCTATTTAACAATATCAGATACATAACTGATAAATTCAAGTAAACTCAAAGATACAACAGTGTCTGTTAGACTTTTGTTATATTTAATTAAGTGTTTTACTGATTAAATTCGTTAATTTCCTGATAATAAAAATATGTCAAACAGGACGACTTAAGCTTTGTTATTGTCAACTTTAAGAAAAAAAAAAATTGTTCATTGGATTTTGATTTTGAGGGATTATGAAGAGTTATGTTGTTCTATTATTCAAATTTTGCATTTCCTGGTGGACAAATCTTCGATGGTTTCTTTGTAACAAGAAAACAATGAAAAATAGTTATTGATATTGTTCGTTATCTCCACATCCTTCATTATTAATGTATCACAGTATAAATTAATATTCCAGTATCACCAGCACATTGCATATGGTGCTTTGTCTCAAAAGCCTGATTCTAAAATGAAACGTGGAGATTCAAGATCAAAAGTCCATAAAACAATAAAAAAAAAAATAAGAAGCAGAGCAATCATGGACCTTAAAAACATCAGAGATGGGATCAGGTGTCATGGAGGAGTAAGCATCCCCTGCCGACTGTCACACCCGCTGTGTGCTTCTTGTCATGATAGGGGAATAACGGAAAAATCCATCGTCAATGTGTATAAATAATGGACTAACAATTACCAGTAGTACAGTAGAACGTCAGTCAACATTTGACTCAATGATAAAAGGTATTGGCTGACGACTGAGGCCATTGTATCGACCATAAGACTTGTGAAATGATGACTTTAAACGAGACTGCTGAAATTCTTGCTTCATCAAGTTGTTTGTAAATAATGATCTTCGTTTTAGAAATTGGTCATACGTAGGGCATGCTATTGCATATCGAATCAAATGAAATATATAAACTCCATATGCAGGCGATGAAGGTATATCGCTGCTTAAGTAAGGGAAGTTGACGATAGAAAATTTCAAGTCACCGCGTTTATCACAGAACTTGGTTGTTAGATTACCATGAACGTCTTTTTCAAGTAAAATATCCAAATATGAAACATGTGTCAGACTCTATGTCATCTTTCATCTTAAGCTCACCAGTATATATCGTATCGAGATAAGAATGGAAATTACCATTATTAACTGACAGTACGTCGTCGATATATCTAAATGTCGAGTTGAAGGCCACAGCAAGTGTTTTCTTCTTTTGACACATAAGTTTTTGCACAAATTCTGCTTCATATGAATGCAAAAATATATCTGCTAACGGGGCTCAGTTGGTACTCATGTGAATTCCAATATTTCATCCACCTGATTCAAAACGAAAGTACTTGTTCAAAGTTTTAAATAGTGACGGGTAACCGACTAATAAGATCATGTAACGGGGCTTTTGATAACCAGATTAAAAGTGCAAATTCTACGGTTATTTTGAAGATCTAAGGCCGTTCTACAAAATTTAAACTTACAACTTAGAAGAAAACTACGTATTTCTTCTAATAACTTTGTAATTTACGTTGATGGCTTTGATATTTTAAAAAGGAATGTAAAAAGACCCTTTTAAGCTAGCAATTTTTAACAGAATCGTCATGCAATTTTGCAAAATTGTTCATTTGTGAAACGTACCCTTAATTGTTTACATTTACCATCCATCATTAGGTCTTATTTTGACTGAAATGTTTCTTTATAATTACTAAATATTGTTTTAAGGCAATTCTGACAACGAGTTCTTTTTCTTAATCTTGTTTATCCGATCAATACAGAGTGTTCACGGTAAGTGTAATCGGTCAACAGGGGATGCTTTATTCTCCAGAAATCTTTGCTATTGTTATGATTTGATTTGTTTCAGGATTTAAATGGTTGATTAACTAACGTTCGTCATCTTTATCTTTTTTACATGATAAACTATTTTTCAATAGCCAGATATATTAAATTGAGTAGAGATACACTCTCTTTTTCTGTAAGTCGCATTTTACATTGACGTCTGACAAGCAAACTTAAGCATTTCATGAGATATTGTGATTGAATTTGTAACACGAATAGAAATAAATCAATGTTATTGTGAACTCTAATGTGTAGCGTGACTTCCTTTTTTAACAGAACAACAACTACTTCGCTAAACATGAGACCGAAGTCTGTTAAAATTGAAGAAACAAAATCAATTCTTAGATTAGTGTTCATAAACCCTTTGCTTACTCATTAACCTTAATGATTTTCCAAAAAGAAATATATTTTATATGTATAATACAAACAATTATAGCAAATCTTGCGGGGCAAAATTCAACAAAAAGACACTTCAAATTGGCAAATCTATTAAGGAATAATAGACATTCACGTCATTATGAGTTATCCCTCTTATCAGAGTATCAATGGACCTTAATAGAATATACATGTATATACATTATAAATCATATAGAAATTTTAAGTAAATAAGTGTAAATATAATACAATTTTCATTTTCAAATTACTAGTAAGGCAATTTTTTAGTTAGGAATTGGAACATAGAATTGATTTTTAACATGGAGTTTAGATATAGAATGCGTAACTTGTCACATTCTATAGCTACAAATATACGTATATCTATGAGTTCTACATATAATATGAAGCAATTTGCAGAAAATTTAAGTCTGCATTTAGAAAAAACTGAAGAAAAATTGCAATATGTGCATGCATCCATAAATAATCTTTTTATTGGGGCTTTGACAGGGGCTAATACAAATGAATATTCAGTCTGGAAAAAGAGCCCTTTTCTCCGATGAAATTTACTAGACAAAGTATTAAGAGGTGCTTCTTGATGCGATTTTCAGCTCATATGGACGAATTTTTATCGCTCACATGAGAGATATTTGAAATTAAAGAGCAGTAAAATAACCAATTCTAGCAACTACAACTACTTTGAATTAATATGGACTTATGGCTTATGGTTCTTGTTATTTATATCTTGTTTACAAAATAAGAAGAAAGAAGAATACGGAGAACTTAGTAAATTTATCAGTGATGATTTATGGGACGTTACAGACAATATCACTTTAAGAAGTAAAACTTTTCTTCCAAAAATACGTATTATTGGTAAAAGGATTTTGGTAAAAGTAATACCGCAATAGTATGATGTATGAAAGATTCTTTTATTTATACAGCTTGCAATTATCTTTATATAACCAAGGTATATTCCCTCTCCCATGTGGCAGCCAGGAATGTACATAGATGTACGTCGTCCCCACTGGAGGGTATTGTCGAAGAATATCTACATATTATCAGAGTGATACTCACGCTACATATTTGACTATGAAAGAATGAGATGTTTCCAAATATAAGTAAAAGTTGGGGGGAAATACTGCAAGTAGCTATATCCACACCTCGCTTAGACTCTTAGATGTACCCTGAACTGGTTCTCCATGAAAACCTGCAGTGGGTGGATCATTACCATTCTCTCATATTGTACATTTGAATTTACCGGAGGCAGTAAAATCTTAATTGTAAATCTGGTGTTTACTGTCTATACCACTCTTTTTGGCTGCATTTGACAGTGTCTGTTTTCTTTCTTCTGTCCTCTCCTGTTAGGGATATTTCTTAAGGCTGTTAGACCTTTCCAAATGGACTTGTCGTGACATGTTTGCTAACATACAATACAAAGTGTCTATTTAATACTCATTAATTAGCTATCCTTGGAGTGGGTATCATTGTCATGCTTATCCAGTCATATGTAATCGTTACAAATTGTGGTTTGGAATCCAGGAAATCGGCATTAGCAAACTAATGGAAGAAAAGCTGTAACCAGGAATAATGCAGTAACAAGGTCATTATATATTGTGTCTTTATCCAAAATATCTCATCCTTTTCATCTTTGAAGGAAAACGGACTTCGAAAAATGTTTTTCAGCAAATTTGGAAATTTCTTAAGACATCATGATTATAAAAAATGGAATTTAAGCAAGTTTAGAATACATTGCAGACCAACGTGGGACAAATCTGTATCAAAGTTTGAAAAATTTGATTTTCCCTAATAATTTTAGTTTTCTTAAATTTAAAAAAAAATATTACTTTAAACTACGAATAATCAATCAACAGTATATAGTATATCAAGATATAGCACTAAGTTTATGATTTATATTAAACTTTATTTTTCTTTTAAAATACTGCTGCAGAAAGTTTATTGGTCAATAGATTAACAGGCTGCATCATATATAAATTCCTATCAAAACATTTACATATAATTGAATACTAAAATATTGATAATTAGGTTGCCGTTTAATCAGATGGGAATTGTGAGAGTGTTATGGAAACCAATTCTAAGTTTTCTGTTATTTCCTCAGATTTGCACGATTTGTCATGCTTTTATCCATATATAATCAGGATTTACAGAATGTATAGCAATAAAATACGAAAAAAAAAGTCAGCATTTGATGGTATATATAATTTCTTCAGACTTTATTTGTGAACATTAAATCTTCTCATAAAGATTTTATACGAGATGGAAAATTAATGAATTCTTGGTATCCACAATTAATGAGTTTTCTAGGGCTTTTGTGACAAGGCATCCCAAAATTTGTTATCAATTTGATTATAGAAAGTCATAAACATGGTGTATCCTGAGAGTGTTTATAAGACTTATAATACCGTGGAACATCAACTGGCAATATTAATTAGAAAATATGCAGCTTACGTCATTTCCATGTGTTAAAGTCCTAACATTTGATGATGCATAATGAAATGGGCAGTAACAATTTGAAACAAACGTCTGAAAGCAAAACG